TAGGTTTCGGGCCCTTTTGACCAAGTTAACTGTCACCTTTGTGTATACGGGGAGAACTCCCTGAACATTTTCCAGGCGATGTCTTAGGATGGAAATATGAGCGCTTCAAGTGGGGGTGTCATATTTTGGGAAGCCACCATTTTGGGGAAAAGACGTGCCCATATGAATCAGAGACATAACATTTCTTGGTGTTCTGTGTACTGTGAGCCAAGAATAGGTGTCCCATGCAGAATCGGACTCCGACCCATTGTGTGAAGCCCCTTCTGGGATGTTTTCTGTGGAGCCCATTGGACAAAGCTGGAAGCACCCCGCTTGGCTGATCCATCGCCAGGTTCTGCGCTCGCCACCCGCGCCGCGCCAGTGCTGGACAGCGGCAGTGCAGAGACGCCCAGATGCTAAACTGCTAAACCAACCGTACTTGCCCTCACTTGCCCAAAAAATCCCAAACAAATCCGAAACAAATTCCCAAAATAAATCCGCACCCCTTGCCCAAAGCGACCTTTTGACCTTTTGATTTCTCGCGTCTGGGCCAGTTTTAGTCACCGCAAAAGGTTCCGCCTTTTGCTTCTGGGGGCCGGGCAACTGAGCAACCACGAAACCAGGGTACAAACACTGCAATTCATGTCCAACCACCTTTGAGGCGCGTAAACCAACCATACTCAACGAAACCAGGGCAGCACACCGCAAATGGGTGTGGCTCAAAATCAAGGAGGGGCAAACTGCAGGTTTTGGATTCCATGTTTTCACTTACCGATCGGGCAACCCATTTTGGATTTCCGTGTTGTTTTTTTGACCCACAGCCAAGTCAGAAAACCAACCACCCGGGTCCACGGCTGGGCCCAATTCAGTGCTCAGGTCTCTTCGGAGGTGCTCAAAGCAGCACGCAAAGATATGGCTGAGGCGGAGGACCCAAAACTCACAGTTCATGGACTTTATGCGTTTTTTTGGATTCACCTGTTCTTCCCCCTGGACTTTGTTAATCCACCCCTGTGGGATATTAAAAGAGCACTCAAATATTACCAGAAAAGGACCGACAGGGGGAAGAACAGGTGAAATGCAAAAGAAAAAAAGACACGAATATTGTCCACGTTTTTTTTTTTTTTGATTTCACCTGTTCTTCCCCCTGTCGGTCCTTTTTTGCAATATGTTAGTACTCTTTTAATATCCTACAGGGGTGGAACCACAACAAACGCATCCAAACCATTTCCTATATACTTTTTAGTAAGTACTACCTATGTGTGTCATGGTTTAAGTGAGAGTCTTGAAAAAGTTTAGACCTTTTTTGGGCCGTCCACTCGGGACGTGAGAAAGAAAGAGCGAGGAACACCGTTGTGCGCCCCCCCAAAAACCTCCGGATGGGTATGGGTCAAAATGAGCCACCACAAATTGCACCGGCGGTTTCCACTTACTGATCGGGCAAGCCATTTTTGGGGGGTACCTATTTTGGTCCCACAGCCAGATGGCTATTGGAGGATAGGTGAGTCGCGTGCAGTCTTTTCAAGCTCCCTTGTTGGGCTGGTTGTAAAGCGAAGCCGTTGAAATACTGCCATTTTAAGGTTGACTCCGGATCTAAGTAGAATCCGTCCCATTGATGGGGTGTTCCCTCCAAAGGTGAACCACTGATGTCCCCCGATCAAAGTCGACTAGGGGTTTATAAATGCGGGGTTGACATAAATAGGGTGGTGGGACATGAATCCCCACCTAAATGAGTCCCTAGTTAGAATTCATGCCCAAATGCCGGGCTGGTGTTGTAGGTTATGATGTGAAGCCCTCACTTCAAGGTTTCTCCAAAAGTGTGTCAACCAAAAAAAGGGCCGGATGTGGGGTAGCTGGTGGTCTTCCATTGTTTGGTTAGGCCGTTGAGAAGGCGTCCCAGTATATGTAGAACGGCAACTCCTGCACCGCCAGTGGAAATATCGCAACAAGCTCACCGCTTCGGGTAAAACAAGTGAACAGCAATGAAGATCCCATGTATGTTTGGTACTTTAGGTATGCGAATTACAGTAGTTTGCTCAACCATAGGCCAAATCAGCTCCCTTGAATCCAAGAAACCAACTACGGGAAATTCTACAGCTCCCTTGAATCCAAGAAACCAACTACGGGAAATTCTACAGCAACCCCTGATTTGGTGGGTATTTGGGTAACTTGTAGAATTTCCTGTAGTGTCTATGATTGAACCCCCGCCCCAAGCGGGGGGGGGGGGAAATTCGGGATCCCCCAAGCGACCCCAAGCGACGCCATGCGACGCCATGCGGCTTTGGAGGAGCACTGCGCCTGGCTGGAGTCGCGCAAGCATCCAGGCGCGCAACGCTCGGGCGCGTCGCCTTGGGCGCGTGTGGTTGGCCGTGTGAGCGTCCGGGTGAATTAATTCTTGCGGTTGAACAGAATGTGCAGATAGCAACACGGAGCCAAAACACGGGTGCTGTGGGGGAGTTTCCACAATCTCTTTTCTTGTTCCTTCGCGAGAGTAGTAGGGATTGTGGTGCCTGTGAGCTCCTTCATTCTTTTTTAGGAGTTCAGCACAAGCTTAAGGAGTTCCTTGGGCCCCCGGTCAAGCTCATTCCCGAGAATTTGCGACACGGGAAAGCCACCAAGTTGCCAAGCACAGCCAAGTATCTTGGTACCCCTTTCTGAGACTTCCGACTCTTGCCCTGTGCTCCGAGCCGGAAGTGGATCGGGTATCTTCCTTTCTTTTGCAGATGTTTCACCCCGGTGTTTCTTTGCCGTGGTTCGATGTTTCTTTCCAGGGCCGTGTTCCATTTGATGTGTTTTCCCAGGCTGACGGCTTCTCCATGCTTCTCTCCCTAAGGCCAATGACCCCAACGGGCCCCGGGCCCAATAAAACCAACCCATTTTGAGGGCCCCAAGAGCATCGGGAGGGCGGTTGCTTTTGCCCCAGCCTGGGGACTCTTGGGGCCCCAAAAAGGCCGTGCGATGATCGGTGCGATCCTGCGAACGAAATCTGATGCTTGCGTAAAGACGCAACTCGTCAGCATGGTTGAGCCAAGAAGCAGGTTGTTGGGGGATCTCCAGCAAAAACAACTCAAGAATTTGGTTGCACCAATTTAAGCAGAAAATTGGTTGAGCGCTGGACAAAGCAACAGAAACACTGGGCCAAGTCAGGATGGGGTGACCAAGGGGAATGTGCTGGTTTTCTGTCGCGCCCGTGTTTGGAAGGGTTGTTTTTCTTTCCAGGGATCCGAATCTTTCTAGAAAACCACCCAACCCCCCTGGGGAAAACAGCGATCGGTTTTTGAAAAGAACGATGGTTGAAAAGAATGGAAGAGGAACTAGTCCCTGCCTGGGACTCTGTGGCCCAGCGGCGGCGCCCTTTTTTCCATTTTTTTTTGGGGAATGGTTCCCCTTTAAACTCATGATGCCCTTGTTTTCCCATGGCCACTGCCACATCCGAGATGTTTCCCTCCCGGTCCACCGGTCCACCGGTCCACCGGTCCACCGGTCCAGGCTCGCGACTCCTGCGGGCCAAGATTCTCATCGCCAACGACGACGACTTCGCACGGGCAGGGAGCGCCCAGTGCTTTGCTTCGCCCGGCGCCGCGCCTCCAGCAGTTCCGGGTTCACGAAAGCTGACTCTTCAATGCACAGAAAGGGTCCTTTAGAGTTATTTTGGTAGGCCAAAGAGGGCATAGGCGGTATAGGGAACTATGCCATGCCATGTGTGTCAAAACAGAAGGGTTGTTTTGGTCGACAATAGATGGCCCTGGTTGACCCAGCGGTGGCCTGTTTGGGGTTTTCCTTCATTGACCAGGTCGTGCCACTCCCTGACTGAGTACATGAAAGCTCCAAGTAGTTTTGTTTGCTTGGCTTTTTTTGGCGACAACCGATTTTTTTCTTTGACCAGTGGCATTGTTGGACGAAAACCGTTTTGTGTTCTTGTTTTGTTTCTTCTTCTTTTTATGGTAAATACATCCTTTTTTAGTAGAGGGTTGACATGATACCCGGTTTTGGAGTAGGGGGAACCTTTATAATTTATAACCGTCAAAGTAGAATGGCGCTGCTGATTTTGGCCGCAAAACGGGTCGCATTTGCAGTGCTTTCGGAAATAGGTTGGACATTGGCCAAAGCTCAATGTGGAACACATGCCAACTTACCTACTCCGAGTACCACCTCTTTGCGGCAGTTGGAATATTTGGGGGTATTTAGAGCAGGAGGGTAGGTTGCCATTTTCAGGGATTCCAAGGGAATCCCGCAAAAAAGTGAGAAAGTCAGATGGATAACCCACTTTGGCATCATCAACCTTACCGGGGGAGACGGGAGAGCCCAAAATGACCAGCTCGTTTTAAGCATTCCCAAGACGATATCTGCCAACCAAAAAGGCACCACATCAGCACCTCCCACAAGCTGCGCAAGTACTTGATCCCCTAAGATACGAGTACCCGGAAAGGCGTTGCATGATATCGATGTGTCTTTTTGAAGGGTGCCCCTCAAAAGGGTCAGTTTCCCTGTGGCTTCCGTTAAAAAAGACGAGCCACGCATATGGAGGAGGCAAATGTGTTTTTTTTAGCAACGAATATGGTCATGAACCCCTTGGGGGGCTATGGAGGGAGGGGGGGCATTCCAGGATAAGCCCAAGGATAAGCCCTGACTAAGGCCTTCTTAAGGTGTCAACAAAGGAGTTGCCTCCCCCACCTCCCCCTCCCCTCCCCAGTTCGCCCCCCTTACAGGTCCATGACATGAGAGCCACAATCAAAACCCGCGCAGATGCCACAATCAAGGTTTGTAAGGGCCAATCCCAGCCATAAATAGCTGCGGAAAACCGCCTTCTTAATTCTTGACATGGTTCTGGGTTCACCATTTTAGTACCGAGTTAAGCCAAGGATAAGCCCTGAATAAGGCCTTCTTCAGGTGTCAACAAGGGAGTTACACCCACCCCCACCCCCCCTCCCCAGCACGCCCCCCCTTACAGGTCCATGACATGAAACGAAGCAGCGAGGGCCCCGCCTCCGCCTGAGCCGGCAGCATCTTGACGTCGAGTTGCCATGGCAGCCATGCGCGCAATCGTTTTGCCATGGCTGGCAGGCGCGGAGCGGGCCGAAGAAATCGACGCACGGAAGCAGCACAGTTTTTTTTTCTGTTTTGTTTTCTGATTTTCTTAGGATGGCTTGATGAGTTGTTATGGTGGCCTTTGCTCGCTTGCCTGGTTTTCCCCATGTTGGTGGCCACTTTGGTGGCTTGCTGAGTTGTTATGGTTGCCTTTGCTCACTTGCCTGGTTTTCCCCATGGTGGCCACTTTTGGCAAAGGTCCAAAAGGTGATCGTCTTCTTTTAGTTTAGGTCCCTTGGGCAAGTGAGGATGCCAAAGCCGCACGAAAAGAACTGGTGGATTTTGAGAGATGGGGTGTCCCCGTTTTGCCAGGAATCCGGATCACTTTTGTGGGTGGCAACCCCTAGTACCGGTCGTCAACATTACCCAATTAAGGGCAAGACACAACAAACATCAAGAAACCAACAACCAAAGAGCAAACAGCCAGCGAGCAACAAGTGGTTGTCAAAGATATGCCTGCTTTTTGCACCCTCGCCTTGTGGCACCCTGTGGAGGCACCACAAATTGGAACCGCCCCATGTTATTGTTTGACAACTCCAACTGAAAACACGCAAACCACAACCTCCGCCAGGCGTCGCAGCCGCGAACATGAACGGGAAGTACAGTGTGGCGAGCGGCGACCGGCAGGACGTTGGCTTCAACGACGACTTTGCCTCGAAGGGCCATGAGTTCTTCGATGTCTGGTCCCCTGAGATTGCCACACACTACGGGGAGGCGCGATGGCGAGTTAGCCACCTGGACCCTGGCGTCCCGCGTGAAAGGGGAACCAGGAGGTGAGTTTCGTCGAGTGCTGAAGCAGATTTTAATGGGAGGCGCCACAGGCGGGTGATTTTCATGTTCCTGGTTTTCTAGGTGTCCAAGAGAACAGCCCTGTTAAGGAAACCAACAAGTATCACATGAGTTGGTGCCGAACCCGACTGTTTTCTGGTGATTTTGTGGGAAGCCACCAAGCCATCCCAGTGTTTCCATCCAGCATAGTAGTTGCATATGTGTCCTTTTTGGTTGTTTTGGTAGAAAATCGTTGGCAATGCCGGGTTGACCTGGTATTTCATCATTTGGCAATGCCTCGCTCTCCTCTCTCTCTCTCTCTCTCTCTTCTTTGTAGCCTGCCAGCACCATCCATTTTGTCAAAAGGACACCTACAAAGACAGAAAGCGGATCCGGCGTCTGAAAATTACTTGAATGGTAGACATCAACACCTAGAACAGCAGCTGCCAAGCCAAACCCACCCTTCCGGAACGACCAATTGTCTGACTTGCAAGAAGGGAACTGGGATTCAAGGACGCGGGTGGTCTCCGAGCGAGCACCCAAGAGGGGTTTACTTAAGCCAAGAGGGAAACGCAGTTTTTGGCCGGTTGGGTTCGCCCGGTTCACATGCCGGTCGGTTGGCTTTGAACTGGAGTGTTGGTTTGCCTGGTGTGCAGAAGACCGGGGAAATGAGCTTCGAGCTTCACCGCCATGGGGTTCATCCAGCCCAGTTCCTTAGGTGTTGTTGGTGGCTTTGAGTTGGTGCGGTAGTTTCCCGATTGAACCCACAAGTCAGAAGCTTTTAGCAGGGGATCTGAAAACAGCCGGCCCGGAACTGTTTGGCATCCTTGCTTACTTTGGATCCATTTAAGCTTCCCAATTGTTTTCCAGTTTACCGACAAATCATGGTGTTTGTATATCAGCGGGATACCCTTAAACAACCGGGTATTTGGAGTAAGGGGTATATGTACAGCTTTGGCTTTGGATGGAACCTTTAAATTTGCAGTTTTTCTCTTGGCCTTCCCTTTGAACGGCAAAAGACACGGCCATATACACACGTGTCTATAAATATATATATATATATATATGTATATGGAGAATGTAATATATGTATATGCACACATCTAAGAATCTAATACCAAACATGATGGCGTCCTCTGACTTACTATGACGGTAAGTGGAAGGACTGGGATTTTGGTGTCCCTTGAGGTTTCGGAGTAAAAAAAGGGTACCCTCAACCAACACTCTCTTTAAGATATACAGGGTTCCCTAGCATGATCCATTTCCCCTTTGAACATCAAGGAAGCTTACTGTAACCAGGCCCAACATTTGACGTTTAAAGCCATCAAAAGAGGGGTTATGTATAAGACATGTATATATATATATATACCTGATATATATTCCCCCTTTTCCACATACCAACATAGTTTAAGGGTATGTTTTGGAAAGCCCGAGGGGTTTTTCAGGGTAACTAGATAGCTCCTGTTTTAGTCACGGGTTGACAAGTCATACCCCACCGTACCCTGAAAACATGTGGGTGCAGAGCGCGCTTTCAGCGCTTCAGGTGTTCTGGACTGACCTGGGCAACCAGCCGCTGCCGACGGAAATTGTGCAGCGCTTCAAAGGGAAGGTGATTGCCATCACAGGCGAGTCATTGGTCGACTGGACATTGGACCACATGGGCGGGCCTCAACAGCTTGTCTTTGGGGGTGCTTGGTTTCTTGGACCTTTTGAAAAGGAGTGGGTGCGTCGTGTTTTTGAGGGTACCTGTTTTGGGGTTGGTTGCCGCTCTAGGCTACAAGGACTCAGCCTAAGTAGTTGAAATGAGGTTGTGGAGCGCCTTGCAACCAAATTCAGGCATGATCACAACTAGCCCCTTCTGTGGCCGACCAGAAGTCACGATCATAAGATCATGGCTTCTTACATTCAGCTTTATATTGCCGACCAGACATCATGGTTGCGGCAATCAGGTTTTGAGCTGACCGCTTGCGATACCCAAATCCGTGTTTTAAGTGAGGAAGGTAGTTGTGGGGACGGCCCAAATTGGGTATCACAGAAAAGGCACACATGCACGGCTCAGTATCCAAAGCAAGTCAAGCTGTTTCTTTTGCAGCTGGCAGCTTGGGGTCTTAGAAAGGGGGCCATCGGGGGTCCAGGTACCCCCCCAAGGTCCATGGAGTGGGTGGCGGGTGGGGCGCGAACATCGGCGCTTGCCCCGAGGTTTGGTCCGGTGGGATGCGAGGGTTGTAAGGGTCGAATTGGTTGGTGCAGGCTACGAGATGGACCAGGTGATGGTGCAGCCCACGGGCCAGCCAGGGAAGAACCCCAAGCAGGATGTGTGCCATGGTCGATGAGCATACTGAACATAGGTGTCCTTTTTGGTGTTGTCTTGCAAACAAGAAAAATAGAGAGATGTTTCTTTTTGGTGTACCTGGTGGTTTAATCATCTACCAGGGAAACCCATCTATTTCTTTTTTTAAGGACACCTGTGGAGTCATTCCTCCTCATCGTTTCCCTCATTTGGCCATGGGTCAAAATCCAAATCGTAGCCCCAGTGAACATACCAATCCACCAGGATTAAAAGGACACCTATGATACTGAACGGAAAGCCGGGAAGTGCTTAACGATTCCCAGCCGTGTGAGTCCGAAGCTTTTTGTTTCAGGCTTTGAGTTGGATGAGTGCGGGCTTCTATTTAGCTCAACCTTTGGGCAACTGAGTTCGCCCCTTTTTTTTCTTGGGGGTAAGAGTTGCCCAGTTTTCAACTCAGTTATTTTATTGTTGTTTTCCGCGGAAAGGCAAGGGAAACCTGAGGGAATTAGCTAGCGCTTAATTGGTAGAGGCTAAATCGGAAGCTACTTTCCGAAGCTCCAAACCAATCCAAGCCACTAGTTAATGGGCAACCTGAGGGAATGCCAGTACTTTGGAAATTCTTGGTTTGCTGGTTCTACGTCTACGTTGTCAACTTTCGTTATACCAGGAAACACATGTTTGAAGTGATGAAGTGGTCATGGAAATCAAGTGTCATAGACTCAGTTGTCCAAAAGTGACCTTTACGCCTTTTGGCATTCGCATTTTGCTCTAAGTGTAGCCAAGGTCCCAACATGTTAGCCTTTTTTCTATGTCCTTTGGGCAAGTGAGTCATACGTGTGGGGATGGTTGGGCAAAAGTTGTTCCAAGGACTGGTCCCCCAGCGGGCACCCTGGTCGAACATGTTTTGGGTCTCCGATCCCGAAACAGAGTTCTATTTGGATGACCCTCCTGTCCACCATCATGGAACCCTCCAAAGGGTCCCGTGAAAAGGAACATAGATTCCAGGACCCCGAAACGTCAGGTTTTTTTTTATGTTGGTGGATGCAGGGACATATACACCATTTGGGTACTGTGGGCCAAGGGATGGGTCTACCTTGCTTCACTAAGGACACGAAAAAGAGTTCCTGGAGTCTCCATGACCCTTTAAACTTGGCTCCCAGCCATCCGGTCCCTTCGCCTTTCAGCTTTTAGGGTTTAGTGGTTGGGTTTCCATTTAACCCACTAAAAGTTACTCACTTTTAGCAGCGGATCTGAGGACAGCCCAGTCTAGGTTTGTGTTTTTGTTGCTTTCAAGCATATTTAAAACGAGGGGTTGTCCATACTCTGCATGGACCCTCCCCTCAAAGTATGGTCCTTGTTGCCTGAAGGCATTTTCCAAGAGGTTTGCCAAGTATGAACCAGAACCAAACCTTTTTTTGGGGTCAAAAGCTGAGGGGCCTTTCTGACCAGCGCAAAAAGGAACCCGCAAAAAGGGTGGTTTCATTTTGCAGTCCCTGTAAACCATTTGAAGGGTAGCTTCGACAAAAAGCCAGACCCGTCTAGCAAGAACCCCAATCCAGGTTCCCGCGAAGCTTGATTTGGGTGGCGGATCCCCCATCTGGAGAATTCATGGGAAGAACCGGGCAAGATGCAGACCTGTCATTCTTTTGTCGAGGACACTTTGCAAGTCACTCAATCGGAGGTTGAAATTTCAGGTCTATGAGAGAACCTTGAGGTCCAGAAGTGTCCTTTGTGGGCACTGGTTCGGTTAAACAAATAGATGGCGCTGGTTTAGAAGGGTCTTGTTGCATAGGGCCATCGTTTTTTTTTTTTTTTTTTTTTTCCCAAAAGGCCACCTACGGTGGATGGACGCAATCCTGCTCCACCTAAGAGACCCTGCAATGATGATTCCCCTCTAGATACCAAGAAACAATGGTGTCCAATACTTTTGTGGTGCGAACGGATGTCATCCACAGTATGTTGAGGTCTGTTCCCATCAACTGGGCTCCTTTTTAGCCAGTTTGGTTAACAAAAAAGAGATGGCACTGGTTTAGATGGGTGTTGTTCCATAGGCCCATCGGTTTTTTTCCCAAAAGGCCAGCTATGTTGAGGTCTGTTCCCATCAACTGGGCTTACAACCACCACTACATGATGATGATGACCGGCGAGCACTCGGAAGTGCGGAAAGTGCCGGCGGCTCCCGGTGACCCCATGGCCCACGGCGCTGCCAGCGACTCGGCGCTTTTCAGGTGGGTCCAGAGCTGCCAGGACTAGGTCCCCCAGTAGCGCCCTGTTACCCTTTTTGGGGGGCTCACCTCTCTATTGAAAAACCTATATAATTCTAGGTTCCTAACCGCAGAATTTTGGGTAAGGACCCCATTTCTAAAGGGTCATGGAGACTCCAGGTAGGTTCGGGCTTCTCATGTTTTTGTTCGGGGGTCAGTTCCCGTTTAAGGACCAAAGGGTATCTTTGAAGATGTGCTTTTCATCGCGGTCTTAGGGAGGCCTACCTGACTTTTGGTCCTTCTTTGGCTCCAGATTTTAACGAGGCGTGCCACTGAAATCCCGAGACCGCAGGATTCGGGTATGGGTCGGAAACCACCAAGGGACCGCAGGCTTTAGTCCATGTTTCCACTTACTAGGGTTCCATTTTGGGTACCTATTTTTGACCCACAGCCATGTGATGTCCATTCCTTCAAAGGAGTTGTTTGCAGGAAAATCTGCAGGACATGGCCCCAAAACACCCTAAAAAGCTGCTTTCCTGTAGAATTTCCTACCACCCAACCCTTTGATTCCTGTGCATGTTGAAGCCTGTGCACCCACAGCTGGGTCCATTCAAGTGAGCATTTTCAGGGATTCTCAACATTGCTTTTGGGGGTTGCTTCCGTTTTAAAGGATCCTGCAGCCCTACGATGACCGGGACACAAGGGTAGGACATTTCCTTCGGGTTGCTTTGGTGTCCCGTTGCCACCGCCAACGCTTTGCTAGTTGGTATCATCTCAACCTTCTTATTTGTTCACAACATTCCAACTGAAAGAAGCAACTATTTGGAGTAGGTGGTTCAGCCTTACTGTTCACCGTCCACTTTGCCATGGACCCTGACCTTTCGGGGGGTCCTGGTCACTACATTGATTGAAGGGAGCGGACAGGGTCATCCTCAAGCTTTGGGAAGCAAAAGCGATTTCCCCCCAACAGCAAACTCTTGCGACCTGACGGCTTTTTTGTTTGTTGTTCGATTTGCGTGAGACGACGTTGGCTTGGTTTTCTTGGGACCATGGTGGGTGTTGTCGTTCTTGCTTGACTCACTTGCCCAAAGTGAATCGGCCTCCTGGCCTTTTGGGTTTTCCTTTTTTCGTCCGCATGTAGAAGTTCGGTCTAAACCTTTGGATTTCTAGGTCCTGGCAACAGAGTTTGGACTTTTGACCTTTACGGACGTGACGGTTTCCAGCATTTGTTGACCTCGCAAAGAGTTTGACCTCATCCATGAAGTGTATGGTCGACATATTCTGTTTTGCTTGGTGGATGCCAACTCCCTCGGATGGTTTTAGTTTGTCAAAACCTTTCAACTTTGAAGGAAATTGACAGTTTCCAACTACAAACCGGCACAGAACTTGGGGGAAAGTGGCTGTTTCCAACCCGCGAAACAGCAAGAAGTGACTCGCGCTCCGCACATTTGATCACCCAAGGCAAGTGGATCGCCATCGACCGACCGTCGGCCGCGACTCGGGAGGAGAGAGCCTTCAAATCTGCGGCCAAGGGTCACCTTCCCATTCTGGGTCTTTCATTGATTTCCATTGGCTTAAGAATATTTGTTACTCTCCGTTGTTGGTTGAATGATGGTTGTTTCATGATGGGTTTGTTTGTTGACCCTCTGAGAACCAGGGGCTTACAGCGCTTACAGCCTGTCCTGCTCACCACACAGACGCTCACCACACAGACTCAGACTCCTAGTTTCCAGGCAATATGCTTCTTTCCCAGCATAGACTCCTACCTGGAGTCTCATTCTGATAGAGGGTAACCAGGGGGGTATGGACAATCTACAGCTCTTGGTTTCTTGTTGCAGGCAAAGTGCCAAAGTCGTCCCGTTTTGTTTGACGTCTTTATTGCCATGCCGGTGGGAAGAGCTGAATTCGCTTGAGCAAGTGAAGGAAATGAGGGTTGAACAAAAGGTCCATTGCATGGGATGATCATTGGTTGGAAACCACTAAAAGGACTATATGTCCAGCATGGGCCAAGTAAATGGCAAATGGGGCCAAACGGAATATTCCCAAACAATCCATGCAATATTTTTACCCAGATTTATCCTCCAAATGGCTGAAAAGGTTGTGGGTCAAAATGAAACCAACAGCGGAACGCAGGTTTTAGTCCTTCCAATCGGCTCCATTTTGGGTACCCATGTTTAACCAGCCAAGCGTTGGCAGATACTGCCTACAGCCGGTAGATATTGCGTCTACAGCCAGATGGGCTCAATCAAGCCCCATCTCCTGAACTTCCATTTGCTCAAGACTCTTGTTTTTTATTTCAAAACCTGTTGGTTTAGGGGCTCGATTTCACTACTGGACCTATTTTTTTTTCATTTTTCCCAGGGGTCGGGGAAAAAAGCTAAAACCCAAAAAAAGAAAAAGAACCCAAAGTGCAGTGAAGCCCGGCGTCTCTCGGCTCTCGCAGGACCCCTCCATCCCCACCTCCCACCTCTTCTCCGAGGGCAACGGCGGGGAATCCAGGACGCGGTGGCCGCGGTGGCAAGCAGCGCGCGCGTCGCTTTTATTTGGGTAGGGCCCAGGGACCTTTAAAAGGAGAACCAAGACGCCGGTTTTTGGGGGGTCCAACCCAAAAAGGAGGTGGTTGTTTTTTTTTCTTCTTGGAAGGCAGAGGTGCACAAGAGGAAAGTGGAAGTCGGTTTTTGGGGGGGGGTCCAACCTAAAAAAGGCGAGCCGCCCAATAAAAGGCGAGGGAGCTTGTTTTTTTGTGAGACATGTGAACCGAAGCCGAAAGGACCACTGAAGCCCTTTTGGGGGGGGTCCAAGCTATAAAAGACGAGCCACCCATATGGGGAGGATGGCTGGGTGCTATGGGATGCAATGGATTGCCAGTCAACTTCGGCGGTTGGATTGGAGGGGCCCGTGGATTGCAATCCACAAGCCACCAATCCAGATCATTGCTTGGGTAACTTGAGCCAATGAAAGACAAAGTCAGTATTTCTGCGCCATGCATCTTCCTTAAGCAGTAAGATATGACTTGTTTAGACCACAAAATGGATTTCGGTTGTCCTTTTGGTCTTCCTTAAACAACCCAGGCGTACCAAAGCAAAGAAACAACAACCCCGTATAATATATACATATATATATATATATGTGCATATATATATATATATATATGTGTATATATATATACATATGAAGTACCGTCAAAAATGTTTTGTTGAGTTGAGCATTCGGCGTTTCATTGATATTGTGAAAATGCACACAACTATGACAAACGATGGGGGACTCTCTAAAGAACGACACCCCTGGAAAGCAATGGAAACGCTGGAAAACGATAGGGGACTCTGTGAACTTGCGTAACCCAGGGTTTTGCGCGGTAATTAAGGGAAGGGTGCAGCAATTAAGCCCGAATCATTCCCGGAAATAACTTTTTCACCCCTGGGACATTTCTGAACAACGGCGACCAACGGAAATAGCGACGATAAACTGTCCAATCTGGCAACACCAATTTGGGCGTTAATTAATGAAGAACGGGCGTCGCAAATGGCAGGGCAGCCAAGCAATTCATCACCCCTTGCAAGAATGCCCTGAAGAAGGTTACGCGCAAAACAAATGTAATAGTAAGTATCCAAATTTTGACCGAAACGATGCGAATGCAAAGCATGTAAGAATTTGTGTGGCGGCAACACCCCCCCCTCAGCATTCAAGGAAATTTCGACCGCCAAAAATCCATAATTGCTGATTCCCCTTGAGCATCCTAGTTGCCGACCTCCGGCCTGCCCCCAACAATTGAGATGTTTCGGTCCGTTTCCGGTCCAACAAATTCCTCTGTGGCTGACCCCACCCTACGGAGCAATTAAGGATTTTTTTCGGGCCAAACAAACCCTTCCTTGCTGACCCCGCCCCTTAGCAACTAAGGATTTTGCGGGCGACAGGCATAGTTGCTGATCGGCGCTTCAGGATTTATCAGTTCACAACATCTTTATTTGGTAGCAGCAGAGCATATGTTTTTGCCTGTTCTCGTCTGCGGCCGTCGCTTGAATGAACACACGCATCACATTTGAAAGTGCGCTGCTGGAATTGCACATGCGCCTCTGCTTCAGCAAATGAGGATTATTTGCGGTCGAATAATTTCTGAAATGCTCAGGGGGGGGGTTCAGCAAGTATTGATTTGGTGGGGCCGACAAATCCTGAAATGCTAAGGGGGGGGGGGGTTCGGCAGTTAAGTTTTTTGGGGTTGACAAATGATTTAAGAATTTGAGGGGGTCGCGGGGGCCAAGAAACCCTTAAATGCTGAGTGGGGGTCAGCATTTAAGGATTTGCGGGAGCTGCGAGAGCCAAAAAATCCTTTACCCCCTCAGCATTTAAGGATTTGCGGGAGGGAGGGGGGTCAGCAAAGAAGGATTTGCGGGGGGGCTGCGAGGGCCGAAAAATCCTTAAATGCTGAGGAAAGGGTCAGCATTTAAGGATTTGCGGAGAACCGCGAGGGCCGGAAATTCCTTAAATGTTGAGGGGGGGTCAGCATTTAAGGATTTGCGGGGGGCGGCGAGGGCCAAAAAATCCTTAAATGCTGGGGGGGGGGGGGGGTCAGCATTTAAGGATTTGGGGGGGGGAGGGGGTCAGCATTTAAGGATTTGCGGGGGTTGGGAGGGCCGCAAAATCCTGGAGGGGGTCAGCAATTTATAGAGCGCATTTTGGATTCCCAATAGGGGTAAAAACACCTATTGGGAATCCAAAATGCGCTGAAAACTACCTGCAAAAAGCTTAATTGCTGACCCCCCCTCAGCACTTAAGGAAATGGTGCAGCAATTAAGATTTTTAGCGGAATTTTGCTTTACGGCCCTCACGCTGGCTTTGTCCGTCCCCTCAAGATCCTCAATCACTGATCCCCCGCTTTGCCCTCCGAAACACTTGCTCACCGCCCCTCAACAACGAAATATGTTTCGATCCCAAAATCCTCAATTGCTGAACCCCCCCCCTCCTCAGCAACTGAGGATTTTCTGGCTCCCCCTTCAGCAACTATTTTGGCACCAGAAAAACACCTCGGCAGTTCAGAATTTTCAGCCCAAAAACAGCTCAATCTCTCACCCCCCACCCCCCCAGCAAATAAGGCTTTTCCGGCCCCAACACATGCTCAATTGATGACGTCCCCCCTCAGCAGCTGAAAAACAATGATTTCTGACCCGAATTGCTGACACCCCCTCAGCATTTAAGGCTTTGTTCAGCCCACACAAATCCTGAATTGCTGACACTCCCCCCGCCCGTCCAGCATTTAAGGGATATTCGGCCCCAAACAAATTCCTTAACTATATACTGACCCGTAGTGAAGAGCTTGTCGGGAAACTGGGCTTTGTTGGCCAAAAAAGGACAAGGACAAGCAGCTTTATTCAGTGAGTAGGATTCTGCAAAGGCAACAACAAGTATCCTGTGCACAATCGTCAGCCCGCCCAACATAGAAATTCACAATTTCTGGCCGACCAGCTCCTTAGTTGCTAAAACTTTGCATTGGATGGACAAACCTGACATTGCTGACGGCTGGCAACTTTTTGGCAGACACTCAAGCCATTACCCTTTGTAAGTTTCGGATTTCAAGAGTTTCATCTAGCGCTTTCCTTGCTTGCTGTTTTGCAGTTGCAGCAATCGCTGAGGATGGGCCATTGTGAATATTCCATGATCAACATATTCTTAACTGAGTGGGGGGGGGGCAGAAGTCCTTCAGTTTCTTTGGCCACCACCATCCTTGATAGCTTCTTATCAGCCACTAAGTGTATAGTCCATGCTGCCAGTCGCAAACTCTGAGTTTCCAGCAAGTTGGAATCAAGCAAACGATTTGGAGGGTCGAAGGAGACAAATCAGGGGACAGCAATTCATGATATAGAACGTTCCTCAAATGCGACGAGGGTCGGAAAGTCAGGATGTGTGAGGCCCACAAAACCCTTAACTGTGTGAGGGGGTGAGAGAAACATTTTTGGGACCAACAATTCCAGAATTGCTGAATGGGTCAGCAATTAAAGCTTCTTGGGGACTCAACCGTCCTTAATTTCTGAGAGCGGGCCAGCAATGAAGGACTTGGGAGGACCGCAAGACTGAGTCAGCAATGAACGACTTTTGGGGACCACGACTCCTTAGTTGCTAGGGCGCCCTTACGACAGGGGGTTAGTAATGAAAGATTTATTGGGGCAACTAAATCCTCAATTGCGGGGGGGGGGGGGGCTGCAATTCAGGATTTGTTGGGCCAAAAAACCCACAATTTTTGATGCTGTTTGTTTCATGTGTTTCAGACCTGAAATTTCCCGCTTGGGAACTTTTGCAAGGGCACCGTACCTTAATCGCTGATCCCCCTTGAAACCCAGATCAATTACGCAAGTTCACAGGGACTCTCAAAGTAAGTAGCGAAACGGCCGCAAGTAAGTAATTTCGACCGTGCCTCATATGTTACATGCAGACGGTTTTCCGTGGCTAGCCTTTGTAGCCGACTTTATGGATTAGGTGCCAGTAGATTACATCTTCGGAAAACCAGGGAAAGCCTTTCTGGGAAAGCCAGTCATTTTGATGGACGTCCGCGTTTTGTTTATGGGGGCTTCAAGTATTTTGGAAGGGACACCCACTATCACTTATTGGGACTCTAGGGATTTTAGAAGGGACACCCGCTATTTTATGGGTTTTAGGGCCACGCCTGAAGTTTCCGAGATTCCCCCCGAGACAAATGTTCGGCATGGTTGTTGGGAAGTTGTTGGTTTTACGTTGCGAGCTGTGGTAGGAAGGGATTCCCTTAAGTGAGTCAGTAGGCAGAGGAATCAACCAGAATGGATTCACAAACTCCCTGGGTTTGAAGTTTGCTGGTTCAAGATGACTTGCTGGATTCCAGCCATCCTCTGAGGTTGTTTGGTTTTTAGTTGGTGTTTTTTTTTTGGTCCGGTTTCCAAAATTTAACCCACAAGTTAAACGCTTTTTTGTTTTGCGGATCTGAAAAAAAACACTTCAGCCCAGAGGAAGCCTTCCCGCCGAAACAAATCCAACCGCGGCAGAGCGAGCGCAGGAAGTCCTTCCACGGCTACCCCGAGGGCTACGCGCAGCTCCTCGAGTCCCCGGACCTGTGGCACATCACGCCCATGCAGGCGCTCCGGTTTTCCGCGGCGTTCCGCGGTCGGGACGGCCGGACGGTGGTCCAACAGAAATCAACGCCCTGCATGTTTTTTTTTTAATGAAATAGAAATAACAAATACATATTTTATGGTTTTTCCCCAGATAGCTGAAAGCTATAGGGGTTCTAACTTCTAATAAAGAGGGGGAAGTGATTTGCGAGATTGATGGGCTGGTGCTATGGGGCGTGCAGTTTGGGGTGCTGGCTTTTGCGGATTGGGGTGCTGTTTGAGGTGCTGATGGCAGTGCGGGCGCATCTTTTCAAGATTGACGGTAGGGTGCTAGGGGGCGTGCAGTTTGGGGGTGCTGGTGCAGGTGCTGTTTTGGGGGTGACGGTGCACGCGTGTTTTTGCATCTTGACGGTAGGGTGCATGCAGTTTGGGGTGCTGGTGCTGGTGGTGTTTTGGGATGCTGTTTGGGGAGCTGTTTGAGGTGCTGGTGACGGTGCGGGCGCAATTTGCGATATTGACGCCCGGATGCTATCGGGCATGCAGGTGACGGTGCAGGCACATTCTTGCATCTTGACAGTAGGGTGCAAGGGGGCATGCAGCTTGGGGTGCTGGTGCAGATGGCGTTTTGGGATGCTGTTTGGGGTGTGGCTGGGTGTTTGGGGGGATGCTGTTTGGGGTACTTTTAGGGTGACGGTGCAGGCTTATATTTGCGAGATTGACGGCAGGGTGCAGGGGGCATGCAGTTTGGGGTGCTGCTGCAGGTGCTGTTTTGGGATGCTGTTTGGGGGGTGCTAGTGATGGCGCGGGTCGATTGACGGCCGGGTGTTGTTTGGGACGCTCTTCGGGGGGTGCTGTTGGAGGTGCTGGTGTGCAATCATTGCTATCTGGGGTCTATGCTGGTGTATTTTTTTTTTGGGGCGGGAGTATGGACAGTTGAAAATACAGGCAGGATGATTCAGTTTATCTCTTGGAGGATTAAATCTGGCTGATTGGGTTGTGTTTGAGGGCACCTGTTTTTTGGTTGGGTGGAGAGATTAAAGCCGCCACCGGACCGAGGGTCTCCTATGTTGACACAAAGAGGCAGCGCCCTGTTTTGGGTTGAAATGTCATACAATTTGTTTCGGGTCTTCTTTGGCAAAACCTGGTTTTCCAGGGTAGCTACCTCCTTTTCCAGCCAAGGCTTGAAACACAGAGGCAGGTATGTGGAGGGGGGTTTTCTGCGTGTTTTCAAGGCTTACTTGGATTCTTTATAGGCAGCCGGCGGAAGCCACCTGGCTTGTCCCTCGTTTGAGTCACAATCAAAACCCGGGTAGATGAAGCATCCGCATCCGCCAAACCAGAAATAGGTAGGAGTTCCTTGGCCCAACTCCTCGCTTTCTGTTTATCCCACTGCCAACTGGGTTCCTGTGGTTGGGCCCTTACTCCAAATACCCTATTGCTTTGGGTACATTTGGTTGTTCTTCATGGTACCTTGACCTTATCTGTCAGTGAGGGGTTGACATCATACCCGAAAAGCAGAGTCTTTGGAGTAATTAGGCGTTGTAGAAAGTTGGGTCCTCGCCACTTTCTCTTTGGTGCATTTTGCCAAGGGATGCCAAGGGATCTTAGCACTTTAACTATTTTAGCTTTGATGGGTTTTCCGAATTAAACCACTAAAAGTGCGTCACTTTTAGCAGAGCAGAGTTCGCAACCGAGCTTTGTGACTGTCCTTTGCAGTGAAGCGGTGGGAATCCACCCACTGCACAGAAAAGCTTGGGGGCCCCGTGGATCAAGACCGCGGCGTCAAGCGTGGCTCCATGAACCTGAGCAAAGGAATCGGACGAGACATGGTCTGAGTTTTTTTGTTTTACACCCTGGGAATACGTATTCCCACTGGGTATTGATTTTATTTAGGCACAAAAACCCGGATTAAAAATAATAATAAAAGTGTTATGTTGAAGCATTCTGGGTCATTTCCCAGTGTAATCCCAGGGTGTAATACAAAAACCCTCAGAAATGGGTGGGTGTTCAACTTAGGCGTCCCGTTTAAACCTTCCCAGCAAGGGTTCCCTCGAAAAAGACGAGCCACCGGTAGAACGACTCAGCTCGGGTTTCGCTTCGGTCTCCGCTCGCTCACTTCGGTCCCCCGTTAGGTGGATCAACCTTTCTTAAGTTTAGGGTAGCTCCGAACATCCAAGTCCCTAGAGTCTCCATGACCCCTAGAACAAGGGGTCCTAACCCGATCATTTTTGTCGGTAATTCCCCTTTCCCGTTTTTTCAGCCATGGAAGGAGTCAGGTGGAGCTAAAATAGTTCGATTCTTTTTCACACCGGTTCCTTCACCCGTCAGGTGGACACCCGGAACCGGGACTGCGGCGTGAGCCCGGCGGACATCGGGAAGTGCAGCTCGCCCTTCGTGCCAGGCCCCGAGCCGCGGCAGACGCGCTGGGGCCTGGGAGTGCCGAAGGTCACCAACTACAGCGCCTCGAAGCGAAGCGATGCGAAGCGGGCGGCGAAGCGGGCGGCGGCGAAGCCGGTGGGCGGTAGGGTGCATTTTTTTTGCTTGGCCGGTTGATCAGAGCTTTGCAATGTGTGAAGAGCAACCAGGTGTACTTAATGGTTCTTGTGTGTGTGTGTGTATACAGATATGTATATATATATATATGGTACAGCGTTGCCAGTCCCCCCCCCCTTCCAATGGTCATGGGTCAGACAAGTACCCCCCGCTGTGGTTGTGGGTTGGTTTAGAATTGGTTTAGGGTATATTTAGGGTGTATTTAGGGTTAGTTTAGGGTCGGTTTAGGGTTGGTTTAGGGTTGGTTTAGGTTTAGAGGTGTACGGCTTAGGGTTTGGTTTAGGGTGTATTTAGGGTTGGTTTAGGGTTAGTTTAGGGTTGGTTTATGGTTGGTTGCGGGTTGGCTTGTCCTGGGGGTGGGAGTGCCGGGGTGTCAGGGTGCAAGTTCAGGGGGTCGGGGTGGGGGTGGGACCGTAGGTGACAGGATCCGGGGGCTCGGGGTCTCGGGCCGGGGGCGGGGGGGGGTCCTGGGAGACCCATACCATCTTTGGGGGGGGGGGGTAGCAACACGGAACACGGGGCCATGTTAATATCCTTTGGTGCATTTTGCCAAGGGATGTTAGGACTTTAACTTTTTGCCAGCGAATGGGTTTTCCATCAAACTGCTAAAAGTTACAAACTTTTAGCAGGGGAGCAGAGTTCGCAGCCGAGGGTAGGCGGTTTAAAGGTAACATTGGTGACCAAACCACCATGGAAATCGGACAGTGTGCCTTTCTTTTGTGGTTCGGAGGGTTTGTTGCGGCGTGACTTGGGGAAACCAGGAGGACATCCTCTCTCTGCGGTACCCTGGGGTCCAGCCAATGAAGTTCATTGCTTCCCCAGAATTAGCTCCCCCCCTTTTTTTTTTTTCGGGGGGGGGGGTCTTTTTTGCTTCTTTTTTTTGGGGGGGGTCCCTTTGTTTTCCACAAACCAGGCACAAAAGAGTGTTTTTGTTGCTGGGGTCCAAACTCCAGCCAATGAAAGCCACCTTCGAAGCCTTTTCAAGGGAGGGGTTCTGGGGCTGTTGGGGATACCACCAGTTTTTTTTTGTGCGTGTGCGTGTTTCTTGTCTTGTTTCTGTTTGGTTTCTGGGTTTTGTGCTTTTTTTTCTTGGTTTCTGTTGCCTTGGTGTGTTGGTGCATTGGTTTGGTGGATCTGCCAGAATCTACGAGGGTTTTCACTGACCCCCAAGCTCTGGGGTTTCTTGGCTGTTTGCTGGTGGGTTTTGGTGGTTGGGTGTCCAAAAATCCCACCAGTTTTTTGGGAGCAGGGGATCTGAGGAGAGCCCAGTAGCGGATATGTAATGCTACGTGTTATTTTCCTTTGGCGTATCTAGCGTTCCCCCCCCCAAACGATGTTTCTCTCTCTCTCTCTCTCTCTCTCTGTGCTTAAAGCAGCTTAAAACCCATGCACAGACTGTTCAACATGCAAAAATGGGGTTTTGTTTTGGTGCTGGTCACGTTTTGGCGTGTTTTTGGATGCTTCAAGAAGTCAAAGGCTGAGCTTGCACATGCACATGGGTGCGGTTCCCATTGTACGACTCATGACCAAAGTGGACTCGTTGGCTGAGTTCCAAAATTAAGCCACAATTAGTTTAATAGTCAACTAGCATCACCCAAAAAGGTTGTGTGTCCCCGTGCACAACGAGGATCCTAAAAGGAAACCATCCGCCTCTAAGGTGTCCCCTCCAAAAGGGGGATACCAGAAGGCGTCTCCTCCAAAAGGGAACCAACCTCTGTACTTTAGCGCAGAGTGAAAATGAAACAGAGTCAGAACACCTTATTTTTTGGGTTAACCCAGATGTGGGCCAGGCCGGGGTCGCACATGCTGGTTTGGGGCACACCTCGTTTTCAATTCTGTCATGTTGGCAACCGCCAGTATCTTCGGGCAACACACAGACTGGGACATGCCGAAAGGGATCCCAGTAGAAGGTTGCGAACTCCAGAAATCGCACCACCTAAGAAACCCTGGAATGATTCGATTTTCCTGGGAAATACCAACAAAGATTCCCCCAACAAAGGTTCCCCTGGCAAATACCAACAAACGTTGTGGTTTCAACCCATGGTTTCATTTCGTGGTGCGGTGCGGGGCGGGATTTCGTAACCATGAAGACCGTATCACCAGCCTGTGTCCAGCCTCCAGTTAAGTTTTTCAAGGAGGAACAGACGCCAGCTCCACAAAAGGCCAGGGACGAGGGACCTGTTTTGGTTTAAAATGAAACGCTGAGGTGGAGGTTCAGCTTGTGACCATCCTTTTAATGGGTTTTCATCTGTGTTTTAATTTGGGATGACCCTGCTTATCACGATGGCAGCCAGGAGCCTTGGTTTTTTTTCCATGTCTGGTTGCATTGGGCTGACGTCCTCTTTCGTTGGGCATTTGGCATTCGCTTTGACTTGGCTATTCATTTGCCAGTCACCTAGTTCTGAGTTCGGTGTTCAACCCGAAAGGAGATCTCTCAAGATATTTTCGAGGGGTCCGAAATCTGAAATTGGAGGAGGGTTGGGAGGAGGACTTTCCTTTTGACCTTGGCAAGTAAGTGTGTTCTTTGCTTCCATGTACCAAGGTGTCGTGTTGGTACATGTTTGAGCCACAGCCTAAACAGACCGGGGATCCCTTTGTCTTCCCCAAAAATGGAAACCATTCACCCCACCATAGGAACCGGTTCTAGGGGGGGCTGGGGACCCCTCAATTTCTTGGCTCAATTTCCTGGCTCGAGGTGGTCTTCTGGAATGCCCCTGCAACTCCCGGTTCGGGGGCGATCCGATGTTCTACCCGGATTCCAAGACCCACATGGTGGAGCGCAAGCACCCCGGCGGCAAAAAAGATAATTTTGCATCCCCTGTTTATTCATAGGGGGGTGCCCCTGGTTTTAGTGGGGATTTTTCACTTTGGGAGTGGAACACCCCAATATTGATAAACTGGGGTTGATTAACATGGTGTCAACATTAGGTGTCCTTTTTGGTTGGTTTGGTTGAACATTTGGGGGCCCTGGTTTGCCTGGTTCAATCATCTACCAGGATATTGTTGTTGTTTCTTATTTTTTATATGACAAACCCGGGTCGGCACGTGTTTGTTCTTTTTTGGGCATAACAACTAAACATCGAGGTCTGTCGACCTTCATGGTTTTCAAGAAGTCGCTTGGATTATGTTTGAGATTGAACCAACCGTTTCTTGCTTCTTCCAAAAAGACCACCCTGACCCGGGCAGGGTCATGGGAAGTAAGTCCATAAAACCAGGTGCAATTATATGTAAGTGCAAAGCAACGGGGCAGTCTTCCTGGCGCAGTGATTCCCATTTTACCTGTGCAGCAAATGGGTAGCAAAGAGAAAACCATTCTTCAAAAGGCAACACATTTGCCAGGCCTAACTCGTCTTTCTGCTTTTTTTCTTCCTTTTGCTCTTTTGGGGTTCTTTCATTTGTTTTATTAACCGGCCAAACATGGAGTCTTGTTGCCCCAACCTCCAACACAAAGGGGGACATGTCCCTCTGGTTTCACTTGGTTTTTCCCTATTGGTTTCCGGATCGTGCTCCTTTCTCCAAACCACCGATTAGTGGGAAGCGTAACAGAAAGCCAGTATTTCTAGGTCCCCCAGTAGTGCCCTTTCTCACCCCTTTTTTGGTTGGGAGGGTTTTCTTTCTAAAATAGACGACCGAAAAAGTTGGTACCCTTATTCGAATGTCAAATCTGGAGGACCTAGAAGCCAGTATTTACTAATCCGGGCCGGGTTGAGCCTTAAATGCGCAAACCTAAACCATCCAACCTCCACAGAGGGAACTTTTTGCCCCAACCTCCCAAACAAAGTAAACTAGCGAGTAGTGGGAAGCCTAAGAGAAAGCAAGTATGAACTAGCCGGGTTGACCGTTCAATGCGCAACCATCCAAGCTCCACACAGGGAACTTTTTGCCCCAAGCTCCAAAACAAAAACCAAACCACCGAGTGGGAAACCTCAGAGAAAGCCAGCATTCCCAGGGTTGACTCAACCGGGTTGACCAGGTTCGTCTTGCTTTCGTTTGCTCAGACCCAGATTCAGATCTGGATGGCTTCGGAATGTCCATGGGACTGGGAGTTTCAATCACCCAACTCCAACCGCCAATGAATCTTTGGTGCATGTTGCCAAGGGATGTTAACACTTGAGAACTTTTTGACACCCAAAAAGGTTTTCCGAATTAAACCACTAAAAGTTAGTCACTTTTAGCAGGGGAGCAGAAAGCAACCGAGATTAGACCATTCAATGCGTAACTATCCAACCTCCACACCTTTTTGCTAAGAGAAAGCCAGTATTCACTAGCCGTTGGCTCAACCGGGTTGACCATTAAATGCGCAACCATCCAACCTCCACACCTTAACCATGGTTGACTCGACCGGGTATGGGCAACACCTCCCTTTGCCTCTGAGGTACACCCTGGTGGGCATGGGCTCCTGCAGCAGCCAGCAGGTGGTGCAGAACGCGTCCGACTGCTTCGCGGCCGCGCCCCAGCTCGGGATTAACGGCTCGCAGTTCATCAACCAGACAGCGCCTTGGCCATGCGCGGCTGGTTGGTCAGACCTTTGCTCATGTGTGAAGAGCAACCCATACATGTATTTAATGGTTCTTGTGTGTAAACAATCTATATATATATACATATATTATGTCTGTATCCTTTGGTGCATTTTGCCTGGCACATATACGCATATATACATTTGCCCAGCTTCCGAGCGTTTAATTTGCCCAAACAGGTGGCCGACGACAAGCTGCCGCCGGGTTGTTCCGTGATGCGGCTGCAGAACGACTCAGTCGTGGTCAACTTCAACACCAAAGAAGGCGCCGAGGCGGGCGGTGACGCGACGCAAACTGCCCATCCTCCCCCCCCAAACCCCACGACCAGTTTTGGTCGATTTTTGGGTCTTACGAACTGGTCAAGCCAAGGGGGTAGTGATGCTTAGCATCCTCATAATTCGCTTGGCCCTTCGCTGTTTGCCTTGCGTGTTCTCCCTTTGATTGGCCGTCGCGATCTGAAAAATGAAGCTTCAACTGTCCTGGTGTTGCAGTTCTTCATGTCCGTCGAATCAGCCGCTAGGTCCCCCACTATGGCCCTTTGTGACCCCTTTTTCGGGGGAGGTTCCCCTGCTAAAAATAGACGACCGAGAAATACAAAAACAAGTTGGTACCCTTATTCCAACCTCTCTAATCTGGAGGACCTAGACTGTACACACCTAGCCCCCTGAGGGAAAGTGCAGCAGCTCCAGCGAGCGCTCGGGTGAGGGCACTTCCCCAGTAGGGGTGAAGATCCAGATCAGCCTGGATGGCAACGGCATGTACAAGATGTCCCCGAAGGCGCGGACGAAAGTCAAAAGCTTTTGACCCTCGCAGGCTTGGAGTAGTTGATATGTTTCGAATACGTTTCGGTGCCTGAATTTGGCCAAGGGATGATAGGACGTGAGTCAACTTTTTGCCAGCGAATGGGTTTTCCGTATCAAAACCACTAGAAGTCAGTCGCTTTTAGCAGGGGAGCAGATTTCGCAACCGAGCTTCCAGGGTTGGAGTATGAAATGCGCTCCCCCCCTTCCCCCCCGCGTTTTTGGTCTACTTGATTTCTTCCGGTGTAAACTCTGCGTCTGTTCCGAGCGGTTTCTTTTGCAACGCCTGCCCATCTCAGGGCCAGTTCTGTAGCAAGAACCGGGACACCAAGATTCAGTCCTTCCACATGCAGCGTGGCAGTCGTTTCGCTTAAGCTGGTGCTGCCCGCTTCGACCGAAGCTCTGCGTTACCTCTGCAACTTGGGGTTCTGACCAGGTGGGTAAAACTAATGACCTTTTGGCGTTCAATTGTTGGCCCACTTCCAGTATAGGTCCCAAAAATTATCCAGGTCCTTTTCCTAGGAGCCCCTTGGACCCTAAGTACTGCCTTGAACCCCCGAAGACCACAAATATCCTAGCATATACCCAATGGATACCGGAGAAACCACGAAAGAGAGGTATCCCTTTGCCATTATCCTGTTCCCATTTCGGGCCCCCGAAGACTTCAATTAATGTTGTCTTTCGAGTACTGCTAGATCCCCCAGTCCCTTTTACCCTTTCTGGGGGAGGGTTCCCCTACTAAAATAGACTACCAAAAAAAGAAAAAAGAAGAAAGCACAAGTTGGTACCCTTATATTCCAACCTCTCCAGTCTGGAGGACCTAGACTGGGGGAGGGAGGGGAGGGGGGAGCCCACATAAGCCTATGAAGCCCGAACATATGCCTATCAAGCCCGAAAGATAACGCCGTATTTGGGGCTTCTTTGGGCTCCCTCCCCCCCAGCTCCCATTTTGAGTGCCATGCCAGAGCGCCATAACTTGGCCCTAGGCAGGGCTCCTCCGTGTTGGCAGCGCGTGAGGCGCGGAACCGCTGCCTCCAGCGGCTTGAGCTGAACAAAGGTCACCCAGCCAGGTGCCCTTCTCTCCCCTCTTTTTGCCCGGGAGGGTTCCCCGCGTCTAATAAAGACTACAGAAAAAAATGGAAACGGTACCCTTATTCTAACCTCTCTAATGGAGAACCTAGATATTTGAGCCGTCGGGTGTTGTTTGCCAAAAGAGCAGCGGTCGTCGGAAGATAACTGAGGCGCCCTGGGGAAAGTTTGGGACACTCTGTTGCCCAGTGGATTCCGCCCTTTTTTTAACCTTTTTTTTGAGGTGCCCTTTTTTTCCCATGGCCACTGGGCATCTGAGGAAAATATGTCCAGCGCTAGACTCCCTTTAAAACCAACCAGGGAAAATAACAATCGCTAACCGCAAAAGCATGAGCCGCCTTGAAGTCGCGAACGGCCCTCATATGTATGCACGGCGTCCAAGAACCTCCTTCCTTTGCCTGACGGGCTAGTTTGAATGGGTTGCATTTTTTAAAATCGAGTAATGCCATAGCAAAGGGCTAGTTTGAGGGCTTCCTTTGCCTGAAGAGGCCCTATACAGTGTGAATGGGTTGTATTTTTAAATATCTTTGAACTCAAAGTTACAAGGTTTTCAGGGTCAGCAGCTTCAGACTCCGACAGGAGAATTGAGGTTTAGGACCCCCAGGCCCTAGGAATTCCTAGCAGCGTTTTGCTCTGTTTCGATGGTTATGGCAACCCAAACGATCCTGAAGCAAACAAAGCAGAGTCATAAGTCTCTCAAACCATGCGAACCAAATAGATCGTTCCCTGAAATGGTGAATTTGCTTTTGGGGAGTTGAACCCCTTGTTGAGAGGGAGAACACTCGAGGAGTTCCCCCTTGGAGCTCCTTTTAGGCCCTTCGGGCTCCTAGGGGCCGGGGGCCATGGCAGCTGAGAGGCAACTCATACGGGGCAAGCGGACATTGTTTTGCTTTACGCACCGCCCGTTTCTGGTCTGAGACGGAAAATACGATTGCCAGAACCAGGAAAACCATTTCTTCCTGAAGTACTTGCATGTGTTCTCGGTAGGGAATGAGGGAATGACCTCTCGGAAATTCTCCAAGAGCCAGCAAGTCTCCGAACCCTGTTTTGACCGGAGAAATCTACTTCACGCTAATAATTCTAGGGGTAACTTCCCCACTCTTTCCAGGGATCCTTCTTTCAAAACCACCAAAAACCATGGGGAAATGGCTGTTTGTTGAAAAGAACGATGGCTGAAAAGAATGGGGAATCAACCCCTAGAATGACATGGTAGGCGAGGATATGTGTTTGTTCGGGCACCTCTTTTTGTGTTGGTTTCAAGGAAAAACAAAAACACACACAAAAAAAAAAAAAACAAAAACGCCAGCATTGAACTATAGACCCCCCTACCCGGAGATCTGTTTCCGGATACGCTACCAGCATCGGCCCTCCAAAAGGCCCTTCTTGATGTCCCACAGCCTCCAACTGAGTCAAACCGCTCCTTCCTTGCGGGTCTTTAGCCCCAATGGTGTAGGGCTCGTTTTGCGAGTGCGCCAGGGGAACTCTGTGAATGGTTCCAAGATTCATTTCGCACCGGTGAACTCAGAAACTGGAATGATATGGAATGATTCGATTCCCAAATGGCCCAAATACAAAACCCGGCAAACAACGTGATGGTCTCAACCGTAGTTTCTCATTTCGTGGTGCGAGAAGCAAATGGATTTCTTGCCCTCATCCAGTATGGGGAACCCTCACTCCCTGAGTTCTGTTTCGGACTTGAGTCACTTTTTGGGAAGACCAGTTTTCTTTGGTGCATTTGCTTGGATGTTGGGACGTTAACTTTTTGCCAACTAATGGGTTTTCATAAAACCACTAGCAGTTAAACTTTTAAAGCAACCGAGTTTTGTGGTATGTTACGGTGTGTTCCAGGACTTATTTTTTTCGGCAACTTCACGCGATCGGAAGTAAGAACCCATCGGATCGGGGGGGGGGGGGGCGGGCGCGTGGGGATGTGGGTGTGGGTCAAAATTAAACCACCAGGATATGGACCACAGGTTTTAGTCCTTCCATGTACCAGGGTTCGTTCCATTTTGGGGCTACCCCATTTTTGACCCACAGCCATGTCTCACTTTTTGGGAAGACCAGTTTTGTGGTATGCTCCGCAAATTCACTCGAGCGGAAGTGAGAATTCTGGGGGGGGGGCATGGGGATGTCTCGAGGTTCTGCTGGAATGATGCGACCTGCTGGGGCTGCAGCGTCGACTGCGACTCTGAGCCCTACGCCTACGGGGCGCTCCTGACCGCTTGTCAGCGGCTCGGGCCTCGCACCCCAGCGGCTGTGTTAATATTTTTAATCTTTTTGGGGGAGTGGGGCACCGCCCCAACATGGTCTAGGTCCCCCAGCTAGGTGCCCTTTCTCACCCCGTTTTTGGTTGGGAGGGTTCCACTACTAAAATAGACTCCCGAAAAAAAGGAGTTGGTACCCTTTCCCCCAGTAGTGCCCTTTTGCCCTTCTTGGGAAGGTTCCCCTCCTAAAATAGACTACCGAAAAAGAATCGGGTACCCTTATTCTAACCTCTCAAGTCTGGACAACCCCGCGGGTGGATGGCCTCGCCCTCACGACAAAAGCGCCACCCGTCGATTTTTGTCGCTCTCCCCGAAAAGTTGGCCTATGCCCCGCTGAACGAATGACAGCTTCGGGATCCAATGTAGATGATGGGTTCCAGCACCCAGGGTGGCTTTTCCATTTGTACCAGTGCTCTTGTGTGGGCCATGTTGAGTATGGAAAAGCCACCCTTGGAGGGTGCTGGTGATTTAGTCCTTGTCTGCCTTTCTTTTTGATCCATTTCCGGGGCGCAGGAGGAGGGACCCTTTGGAGCCGCGAAGATGATGGGCTCTGACTGAACGCTGAAGAGTTGTGGTTTTATACTCGCCCGATCAGGTGGTCTTTTTGGGTGATATAGCTGACTCCCGGAGTCTCCGTTCTTGCGGACATTAGCCCGTTCCTATCCTCATTGGGGCTCCAGTGCAAGGTGTTGGACCTCATTCCCCGAACCGCGCCAAATAGGCAAACTGGGCAAACGGGCCCCAAGGGGCGCCAAAAGGAACCGCATCACAGCCTTGACAGGATCAATTTTTTGGGATGGGTTTCGTGATGTAGGGAGAAACATGAAACGGCTAAGGTGCATCCGATTCCCATAAAATGAATGCCAGCCTTAGGACCCTTTATTTTGAGGATGACGGTAAAATATGGTTCTCTACTTAGGTGTTTGGCCAACTTAGCAAGTTGTCGGCAACCTTGGTTATAGCACTCGTAAGTCCCCTAAGGGCAACCAACCCTGTTATTAGCGGGTTGGCGAACCACGCACTAGCTTGGCTGAACATCCAAGTACCCATGGTTTTAAAGGTCGTGTCTGAATCCGACGGGAACGGCTACTCCAGGAATCTTCGCAAGGACCCCCTTAGGTTCCCTTCAACTCTTGCCTGCACCGGGTGGTTTCTGGTGTCCTCCCATCGCCCAAGAAACATGAACCCAACTCACTCGGGGTCCGGGACTTCACTTTTTGGCAAGACTACCCTTGGCGTCAAACACAAAACAACACTTTGTCTGGCCAATCCACTCAAGAAGTGAGTTTAAATTTGTTCCAAGAAACTCCTGGTTTTGGGTATGCCAATGTCCTGTGTGGAACCTCCGCTGGGTTTGGAACGAAAACATCACCCAGCTGAAACGACACTGGGTGTGTCTTCTTTTGAGTTTGCTTTTTGTTTTGAAGGGGAAACCAAAGGAAAGCACTTTTTTCCGAGGTCCAACCTGAAAAAAGATCACACCCATGTGTGTAAACCTTGGGGAAGTTCACCATGTGGGTCTGTCCTTTATTCGGGGATCCCCCGAAATAACAAAAACAGAATAGTTTTTCCTTTGGGCCATGGCTCCCTTTAAGACAGGATTGTGGGATCACTTGGGGTTTATCCACTTTGTGATACTTTAGGGAATCTCCCTCTTCATATGGGGGGTCTTTGGGAAGCCCTTCTTGTCGCACAGAAGTGGATTCCGTTTCCCACAGCCCCGCCAGAAAAAGCAACCAGAAAAAAACAGCCTGAAGCCTCACGCCTCCCTTGATACTTGGGTTCTTGCAGCCCAAAGTCATGGCTGGTGAATTCCTTTTTTTCATGGGTAGATTGAGGGTCCAGGAAGATGTCATGTTGTGGACCCCCAACCAAAAAACAACAAGACCAAATTGGTGGTTTATGTGGGTCTGTCTATTAGGGGACGCCCCCATCCGTTTTTGGTTTTCTTCCTTTCGGCTTCCCTTTCAAACAACCAAAAGCAAACCAGTTCCAGGACTCGTTTTTGCCAATCCAATCGATCGGAAGTGAGCGTTAAAAGCACGAGCGGTGAGGGGGGTCTGGCTTGTATTCTTCCCCCCCCCCCAAAAAAAAAACAAGAAAAAATGTGGTTTTCCTTTTGGCTTCCCCCCCCCCCAAACAAAAACACACACACACACAATAACATTGGTGGTTTTCCGCTGGGCTTCCCCCCCAAAAAAAAGCAACAAACAAGAAAATGGCTGGGTTTCCCGTTGGGCTTCCCTTGAAAACTAACGGCGTCCCTTTCAAAACCAACAACAACTTCTGAGGTGGAATGCGATCAAATCCTGCGGCTCCATAGAGGCTTGGGCGGGCTCCATTGAGGGCGACGTGAGCGCCTCGCCAATGACTCTCCTGCGAGAACGAGACTTGCGATCGGTGCGATAGGGAATGACCGAGACCCAGTTTTGGTTGAATGAACCGGTTTTGCGGAGTCCCGGATAAAGGCAACCACAAGGTCTAAAACAGATTTTGATTATGACCCATGCAGCATCTCTATCAGTAAATATTGGATTTGACTCACACCATGTCCATTGCAGTACATCCAGATGTAGTCTTTAAATACGTGAATACAATATAATATATATATATACACACACATATCAACTCGTGTGGACACATCCTGATCAGGGACAGGATGTCGAGTTATGGAAGGAGCCTACGGCTATTGCCTCACGTCTTGATAGATAGGTTAAACCTGTGAAACACATACCCTTCCATTTGCTTAAGAGTATTTCTATTTTTCCCTCCTGGTTTCAAAGGGAATCTATCACTACTGGACTTTTTTTTCCAGGGGGCTTAAGCAAATGGAAGTACCTACGGGAGTCAAAACCACTGGTGCCATTTTGGGGTAGGTGCAACACCCATTTTAGTCTATTTTAGTGGGGATTGGGATGTCCACTGGGGGTACGACTTGGATTTTGACCCATGGCCATTCCTGGAAACACACACCCTTTCATTGTTGCTTAAGAATATGTTTTATTTTTCCCTCTTAGTTTTAAAGGGAATCTATCTTTTCCAGGGGGCTTAAGCAAATGGAAGTACCTACGGCTCAATGGGATCCCATATTGGTGGGTAGGTGTATATACCCATTTTAGAGCCTATTTTAGTGGGGATTGGTATGTTCACCGGGGGTACGATTTGGATTTACGATCTTGACCCGAGATTAGGCGAGAAGCAGCCGCACGGCGGCAGCGCGCAGATCACGTTGTCGGGCCCGGCCAGCGGGTGGTTCGGCGCCGGCTTCAACGCGGAGGCAATGGCTGACAGCCCCTACACCCTGGTCGTCAACGACGCAGGTGGGGAGACCTCATGACACCCCGACCAAGCCCCATGGATTTGGTGGTTGTTGTTTTGTTTGGGAGGGGGGAGGGCAACAAATGTGTGCTTTTGGGAGGGGGGGGGACAAATTTCTTTTTTTGGGAGGGGGGGGGGGAAATCGGGTCGAGTTGTCTTTTTGGGAGGGGGGGGGGGGGGGCGGAACAAATGTGTTTCTTTGGGAGGGGGGGCCCAGAGGATGTCGAGTCGAATTGTTTTTTTTGGGAGGGGGGGGAGCCGGAAACTGTCGAGTCGAATTGTTGTTTTTTTTTTGGGGAGGGGGGGGAGCCGGAAACTGTCGCGTCGAATTGTTTTTGGGAGGGGGGGGATGTTGGGTCGATTTGTTTATTTTATTATTCTCCAACAGCTGAAAGCTTTGGGGTCTCAGCCCAGATAGGCTCCGGGGTGGTTCGGGGCGACCCTGAGCTAAGGTTCCACCAGGGTTTCACCAGGGTTCCACCAGGGTTCCACCAGGGTTCCACCAGGGTTCCACCAGGGTTCCACCAGGGTTCCACCAGGGTTCCACCAGGGTTCCACCATCTGCGAGGTTTCCACCAGGGTTCCACCAGGTTCTGCAAGTCTCTAGAAATCCCACAAAGTTGAAGACCTTGAGCATTGACCATCTTCAACATGTCTACATGGTTTTCGAGAGGCTTTGGAAAGCGTACTTTTCAGCCACAAGCACTGCAAAGCCATGTGGCGACTAATGCGGCCAACACAAAACTGTCAACCCAATTAAAAGCGTCCAGCTTGCAAACAAAGGACGTTCCCCACATTTCACGGCCTCTTCCTAAATGCCTTTCTTTTTGAGGCCCCCGAACCCCAGGGTCAATATGGCAAGCATCAAAAAGTCCGCTCAGGGCAAACGCGAGGCGCGGGTTACAAAGGACACATCTCACCGAAAAGTCCGTTCATGCAACAGGAAGGCAGTGTTGGGATGAGCTTGGATGTGTTCTTGGAAACACGCATGCTGCATGCTCCCTTCCTGCGTCTTCCCTTGCATCTGCCTCGTGTAAGACCAAGGCCCAAGGCCAGCCTTGCCGCTTTGCAGCTCGCCCATTTGGTTTCCTTCCGAGAGATCCTTTGTGGGACCTTGGATCTGCGCTAAGTTTCCGCTGACCAAAAGAACCTACCTGGAGTTTCCTTCTGATCCTTTAAGAATGCTTGGTCATAATTCAAAATTGTGGGGTTACCACTTTTTTAGGGGTCATGGAGACTGTAGGGTCATCCATCCTTCCTGCCTCGTGTTGATTTTTCCCCAACAGCGGAAAGCCTTGGGGTCTCAGCCCAGATAGGCTCCGGGGTGGTCCGGGGTGGCCCTGGAATAAGGTTCCACCAGGGTTCCACCAGATTTCCACCAGGGTTCCACCAGGGTTCCACCAGGGTTCCACCAGGGTTCCACCAGGGTTCCACCAGGTTCATCGTGGGTTCCTCGAGGTTCTGCACGGGCTGCGGGGTGGTGCGGGGTCTAAGAAGAGCACCGCATGCTGTTGGGGATATCACCTGAGAGTGGTGCTGGTGTCCGGAAAATTGGAAGTCGAAGCATCGGGGTGCCGTTGTCTCGAAATGTCTGGAGTTCACTGGGCTTGAGAAGACGAAAAAAGACGTGCCCAATCCAGCCAGGAAGCGGAAGTGAGACCCTTTGGCCCTTATTTACAGCGCAAAAGGGGCGGGTGACGTGAAGGATGATCCTCTTTCTTTTTTTACAGGACCTTATGAATATTTCAAGGGACGTGCGTGATGATCCCTTTTTTACAGGACCTCTTAATATTTCAAGGTTCGGTAAGAAACAAAACACACATGTGTTTCCTCCAAGGGACAAATCGGCCCATGTCGTTTGCCTGGTTCCTTTTCGCGAGGCGTCACGGAGCGCAAAATCGGCACCTGCGGCAGCGAGGCGTCCGAGTGCGAAGATCGGTTTGGGTCCCGAAAAACGTTCCGCGGAAATGGACAGGTTGTGGTTCCATGCCATTTTGCTCAATATATTTGTTACTGTCCCATGGGTTTAAATGGAATCTATCACTACTGGAAATGTGGTTCGGTTTTCCTGGGGACTTAAGCAAATGGAGGGTTCTTATTGAGTGTTTTTGAATGCTTGCGCAGGATGTGTAGCACTGCCCATGTGCTAGGACCCATTTAGAGCAAGCTAGTTTGGAGCAGCGCTTTTGGAGGACTGTTCCCAGCTATGACATTAATCCGCACCGTTTGCTTGATTTGTTCAGACATTTATTCAACACTCCAAAGGGCACGATTTTTGCTGGAATGCTTTGGTTGCGAGACCGGGGGGCTGAATCTCTTGTTTGCAGTGCTCGACAACTTTTGCATGGAACGATCGATATAACATTTGTAGACAGCCCTGCAAATCAAGCAACACACGGAGCCTTACTCCAGAAAAAACACGTGTCTGCACGCATGGCAAGGGATGATCGTGCCTTGTCCATACAACGCATTGATGCAGTTACAAATTCAACTCCATCGTCAGGTTCCTCCTTAACTGCCCACAGCAAGCCCTGCTGTGAGTATGGGCGGAAGGCGATTTTGAATTCGTGGCAAGACTGCGCCTACCAGCACTGCAGCCACCTTGCAAAACCCCGCATGTTCAACTTCTCGGGCTCTTTCGGTTGCTATGTGTAACGCTCCCGTTTCACAAGCACAACACAATTTCATGGATCCTGTCGAAGATATTGATCCTCCCGGCAACGCTGGCTCCTTTTTGCACTTTGACGACATGGGCTGATACGTTTCCTGGACTTGGGTGGCGCAGCAACGGCTCGCTCATCCTGGTCAAGACAAACTGTAAGGACCCATTTAGACTCACACAAGCAATGAAATTTGGACGGGTTCCATATCAAAGGGTGGCAAGTGATGTATGGAGAGTACAGCCTCTTTTGGAGGTAGAGATCCCACATTTTGGGCCGACAGTTGACACCTGTTGGAAGAATCTCAGAGCCCAAGTGGGATGATTGGGGTTCGCTGACCAAGCTTTGTCCGGGAAAGGGCCTTTTGGTTCAGGGGCAAAGGGGCGATGGAAACCGAGGCCATGTGGTTCCGAACGCTTTTCCAGCCACCCAAATGGGCGATTTCCTCATGGCTTTCCTGTAAATACTCTTCAAAAGGTGTCCGAAATCAATTTCTGTCTGGCTTTTGTTCGGGCAGTGTTCGGGCCCCCCCTATCTTCATGGCGTCTCTTCCTTTAAAACCACCAACAAACAGTACCCTCAACACAAGACATGTTTTTTTCTTTTTGTTTGGCTTTTAATATTTGGTCTCCCTTGGTCCTTTTTGGGTGCTGTTCTATAGGCTGATTCCCATTTCTTTCCAACCATGGTTCTTTCCAATAAACCGTCGTTTTCCCTGGGTTTCAGGAGGTTGGCCGGAAAGACTCCCTGGAAAGCATGGAATTGGAAGGTATCCTTAGCGCTTTGTAGCCCCAACCAAAGCCGCCCCCTTCAAATTCTCGCACGAGGCGGAGCACTGCCCTGGGGATCTGCTGGCGCCCTCCATCCGCGTGATCTCCAACTCGGTGGTGGCGGGAGTGCGCACCGCCGTGGTGCAGCGAGCACTGGCGCCTCGAAGCCGGAGTGTGACGTTTAGATAGGTAGTAGACGTATATAGTTGGTAGTAGGTAGTAGGTAGTTGTGTTTGTGCGCATTGGCGTGTTTTTTTGCTCTTTGTTTGTCGGTTTTTCGGTGGTGGTGGTTGTTTCTTCATTGCTTTTGTTGTCATGTTTCTTTTTGTACGCTTGGTTTTGCTTGTTTGCTGTTTGGGTGTTTGCTTCAGGGGCCCAACAAAATCCTTTTCCTATTGCCCCCTGAAATGGGAAGCCCTTTCAACACCATCCAAGGGCTGCTTTGCTCCTGGTGCCGTTTTCCCCCCGCACAAAAAAAGAGCGTCCCTTGAGGGTCACCCCATTTCAGTCAGCCCCCCTACCGTATTATTCGGCGGCGCAAGGTCCAACCGTGGGTTGGCAGGGTCCGTGATTTGTGCCGGTTTGATCTGTTGCGACCGGTCCCAAATTCGGGACGCTTTCTTTTGGGGCAACCCTGTTGTTTATGTATTGTCCCTTGCCAGCAACAAAGCAAGTTAACTTTGCGCAGGGGGTCCACAAAGATGCCTAGATGTAGCGATGCTAACCCCCGTGCACCGGACATGTGCTTTGACGAAGTTGGCCAAAGGTCAAGTAAAGGGGGGTTTGGGTTCGGGGGGTTGTGGGGTCCTCTCCAGGACCAGGATTTCTTGGCTTTTCACAGATGCTTCCGAGCAATTGCCGTATGCTTTCGATTTCTGGGGCATATGCTCTGCTTGCCACCTTTCAGGCTTGCCTTTGAAAGAACACCTCGTACAGGCGCACGTGCCTCAAGATAGGGGAACCCCAAACTTGGTGGTTTGTTTTAATGCAATTTCCCGTACAAACCCAAAAAGGGTACCCCCAAAGAGGACAAAGGCGGCTTGGGGCAAAACTTAAGTTTCGGTTGACTATCAGGTTGGGCTGTCGAAGAACCACTACTCCTTCAACCCCTTCGCCGATGAAACCATCCACTTCATCACTGCGGTGGGCCAGAGTCGCTGGGGCATTTGGACAGTTTGGAGACATCCTTCAGGGAAACCAACAGGGATGCAGGGGGAACCAGAAATACGGGAGGATTCGCCCCAAATGCACCTTGACTAAGTTTGACATGGGAAATGGCGCCAAGGGAAGCCTGCCATGTCCCCCCCTCCCTCCGTATCCCCGCTTGTTCGTTTGTCCAAATCTTTGCCCATGTCCAACATGGCAAATATGGAAATAGACGCGAACCTACCAGAGGAACCTACCAGAGGGTCCCTCTTTAGAGGAAGATGGTCCAAAGGACACACCTAGGCAGGCTAAGGGACTCCTTGTTAAACCCCGCCAATTATTCCCGAATTCAAGCAGTTGAAACACTCGTGGGGTTGGTATCACTGTTAAAAGATTGTCATCAAAATTGGGCCCTAGCCGTTTTTCCTTGGCTATCCTATCCAGGATACGGCTTGCGAGCTGCTTTTTCCAACGAACCTGTGTGTCTGACCTCCATTCTTCCTCTTGGCGTACTTTGCGCTGCCCTCCGGAAGTTTCCGGAACAATTTGTTGATGTATTCTTTCCCACCCTTTCCCACACAGACCAGTGAAAGTCGGTTGCTTAGACTTTCCCACAACACGAGAAACCTCCAAAGGGTTCTCCATATGTCTTCTTGGGTCTGTCTCAAAATCTGACCCCTGAAATGGTCGGCTTCCTCTTAGAACCAGAAAAAAGGAGCTTTCCCAAACAAAAAGGCACGCCCATAAATGAATATGAACAAGCAGTTCCCCTTTAAAGGGCTTTGAATTTTGTAGGGAGCCCACCACTTCAGGCCCCAACTTAAATTGATGTTTTCCCAACATTCCCTTTCGCTCGGGTTTCCCAGATGAAGAAAACAACACGCGAATCAAACGCGGCGAGGTCAGACCTTCGCCTACCACAAGGCCCACGGGCCCACGCAGGTGGCGCTCACTTCCGTGGGCTCGAGCTCCTGCATTTGCGATCAGGGCGCCTCGATCTGATCGAATCGCCTTAGTTTGCCCTCGCCACTGAGTGGGGACTGCCGACCCGGATCGGCAAGCCACGAATCGACGATACGTCCGTTTTGTTTTGGTTTGTCGGTACCCTTTTTGGGGCGGTTCACTATAGATCCCCTTCTTATGGATCCCCTTGTTATCCCCTTGCTATGCATGGAATCCACACAGACAGACGTTTCCCCAACATAGGCCCAGATAGGGTGGTCAGGGTCCAGGACGGTTCCGGGGCTGTTGGGGATACCGCCTGGGCTTATTTTCCTTTGTCGGTTTTAAAGGGATTCCATCACTAAAGGAAATATTGTCATTTACCAGAGGGCTCAAGTGTGGAAGGGAGGCTCCCTTTGTTACCCGTACTGGGAAATGGAATCACTGGGCTTACTTGGTAGGGCTCCTCACAATCCCCCCCCAAAGCTCGAAATACCCTTTTTAGGGTCTTCTTTTGAAAGACCAGGTTTTCCATGGTAAATACCTCCCGAAAAACAGCGGGTATTTGGAGTACAGGGTAGTTGGTGGTTTGGATGGGTGCTTTGGGGGTTTGAACGGCTGGTTCTTGTAGCGGGCAAATGCGACACCACTCACGGCACACCTCCAAACTGCCAGTCCAAACCACAAATTGGGGGGAGGCTGAAACAACATGGTTAGCTGAAACGCTTGATGGAGACTTACAAGCAACTCACTAGCTCAGCCGAATAGATGTTTAGGTTTCCCATCCTTTTGGGGCAATCCAGTGACTGTCTTGTTTCCTCTTGGGTACCCTTCTTGGGGTTGGATTAGAGGGAAACCAAAGGGAGAACCGGGAGAACCAAAGTCCTTTTTGTGGACCCACAATTTGAGAACCCCCAAAAAAAACATAGCGGATATTTCAGCTTAATTCCCTTATAAGGCAGGGCACAGCCCAAAAGAAAAATGAAGAATGTGCCCGGCTTGCCCGGCGTTTTCAGTCTCCATTTGGAGTCGCTCAGTTAGGCAACCAGTTGTCCTGGTTCCTTCACTAGGTCCCCCAGTAGTGCCCTTCTCTCCCCTTTTTTTGGGGAGGGTTCCCCTACTAAAATAGACTACAGAAAAAAGTTGGCACCCTTATTCTAACCTCTCAAATCTGGCGGACCTAGTTCAGTCACCTAAAGGACATGGAGTCACTGGGAGCAGTCGGACTGTTGGACCGTGGGATTCGAACGGAGCGCGGTGATTTTGGAATCCCTGGGGGGTAGATACAGGTGGTTGAGAGGTTTGGGGTTCCTTGACTTTTAAGGCTGCCTAGGGTTCCTGAAGGAGTCTTAGGGAATCCCCCCCGTGTGGTGGACCCTTAGGGTATTGTTTTTTTTTAGGGTATGGTTGCAAATTGGACTCTAGGTGTCCATGGCACGGAATTCCCCACCCCCCTCCTTGCACCCACCCCCACCCCCACCCCCACCCCACCGCACCCCCACCCTCACCCCACCCCTCCCGGCTTGTGCGGGTTTCCAGGTTTGGTGGGCCGCTTATGCGCCACGGGCGGCGTGAACTGCACGGAGTTTGTGAAGGACTGCGCGGCAGCGCCGGCCGGCGACTTGTTCACCCAGCGCAACCCCACCTGCAACTCACGGCAGTACAGCGGAGGGCTGAGTCTTGGCACAAAAAAGGGCCGGGTGGTGAATCGATTTTTTGGACTTTGGGTACCAGTGTTTGTGTTTTGTGACCTGTGGGATCTTTGTCGAACGGTTTTTTTTGCATTTTAAGGTTCAGTTCACTACCCAGAAAACAACAATTGCCTTTTTTGAACGTATTTTTGCTGTTTAAGGTTGACTATAGGCCGGAGTTTGCATTTTCAATTCAAAGGGCACGTGTCCTTTTTTCAGGTCTGTTTCAAGTGCCCGTTGATTCTTCCCCCCTCAAAAATGGGGTCGCGACCCCCGTTATTTTGGCTAGATGAGGGTCATGAAGACTCCAGGTTTATGAGGGGCGCAATAGAACAGTCGCGGAAAGTCATGAGCCTCTAATAAAGGGCTATTTGTGCGGGGGGGAGAAACAAAAATCAGCCAAGCCCTTATTCAAGGCCTTGAAAGGTTTTCAGGGGCGCGAAGGCACTGCTGCCATCACCAGTACATCATGCTGGATGCGGACCAGGAGGTGCGGCCTGAGCTCTTGCGGTACCACATGAAGATGCGGTTTTGGTTCCAGGAGTACCGCGCAAGCACAGGCGAGGCTTGAGTCCTGAGGAGTCCCAAGCGGGCGCTTGGATGTTTTCGGGGAGTGCTCGGGCGGCTTGGGGAGTCCTGAGCTGAGGAGTCCCAACCAACAAGAGGGTTGCCCACTTTTCTGGGTTTGCGACCGGACGGAAGGATCTGAATCTTTTTTGACATATCTTGGTCGCTCCCAAAGGCCTGGATATATATGGGTATGTGTGAAAATGCCCCCCCCCCCCCCCAAATGGTTGGTTTCCCTGGACGGGCTCGTACATCCTCATGTCCAAAGGGTCCTCAATTCAGATTACCCAAATCAACTTTTTGAGGCTTCACAGATAGGTTGCATGTCACTGACACAGCCATACGCTCCTTTTCCATCCTCTCCAAATCTCGGGAAAAGCGAGAATCGATCGTTTTTTTGTGCGAGGCAGCAAAGCCTCCCATGCCAACTTGCCGCGGATCTACTACCAGACCGAAGCCAATGCAGGTGAGTATGACATCCCCCCGGCCTTTGCCAGAGGTCACCCAATTGTGGGATATCCGGAGTGGCCTCCGAACAAGCCTACGCCTGGCACTAGTTGTACAGGAAACTGCCCTGATGGGGCTGACTGCGAATGTGTACACACGATTACGCCACTTGCCTGTACAACTTCATTGCCACCGTTGCCCTTCGTTGATTTGACACCCAAAATGCTTCAATTCATAGCACACAGCACAGCCCTGCAATTATTTGTTGGCATTTCATTTGCCGACTGTGCGAAATGTACTCGACTAATAATTACACGCACTTCCAGGCTGATCATGTCTTAACTGGTTTTTTGCTTAGTACCCTACAACCACCATCTTACCCTTTCTCCATCGACCGAGAACTTCCAAAAGGAGCGTAATCCAGACATCTGGTGCCCACATCAACCTTCGGACGACCAGTTTCAAGGGTCTCCTATCGCCCGTTTGTGGCGTTGGTCTGACCAGGCCAAGCTTGTCCATTGGGGGTTGGTGGGTGGGGGTTGGTGGCTGGGGGTTGGTGGGTGGGGGTTGGTGGGTGGGGGTTGGTGGGTGGGGGTTGGTGGGTGGGGGTTGGTGGGTGGGGGTTGATTCCTAGAAAAGGTCCTACCCTTTGCTCGTCCGGGCTTCGAAAAGAAGTGAGGTACCACTGGACAGTGAGCAACATCCGCCTGATCTACGCGGGAGGGCATTGCCACGCCCCCAGCTGTTTGTCCATCGAGCTCTACCACAACCTCAGCGGCACCCCGCAGCTGCTGTGTCGGCAGCTGCCAAAGTTTGGCCAAGGCGCGGTTTCTTGGGGGGGGGGGGGTGAACAGCGGCGAACAGTGGCTCTTTGACTCACTTCGTGAGTGCTTTGCATCCTCTTTGGGAAGACCATCCGAGTCGTAAACAAAGGTTTGGTCCTTTGTCGGACTCAGGAAGTGAGGAGGATTATAATGGGGGATTATCGGGGCTTTTGCTGTCATCATTCTGGGGGTTGTCAAAGTCAGAATTTGGATTACTTGGGCTTTATCCTTGCTAAAATAATCGGTCCAGTTTTGGGTTGGTCTGTCTATACTTTGATTCTTAATGGGGAACAGCCTCCCAATGGTCGGAATTCAAAGCCAAGCTAATTTTGATGTCTACCAAAGGGTGGACCAGTTTAGTCAATCGAAGCTTAGACTTGGCCTGCGAAACAAAGCAAGCAGACTTTCTCCGCAAGTCGCTGGGTTTCAGTGAGCAACTTGCTCAAAAAGTAGATAGCGGACAATCCGCAAATGGGTGCCTTCACCTTCGCCGCCGTTTTCGTTCTCGACGTGGTTCTGGGCAGAGCATTTTGATACCGATCGGTTTTGGCTATGCCATGCTATGCCCGAAGTCTCTTAGGTTTGCAGGGAGGCCCTGAGGTGTGAAAGTCGACACTGGAAGGGGGGGGAGCTGGGGCTGGTGCAAAGGCGTTGTTTTTCCATACGTGTGATCTCTTAAAACAAAAACAAAACCAAAAAAAACAAAGAACAAAGCTTTCCCCAAGCTTCAGAAAGGACCCGTTGAGGGGGTCAGGAGTTCTGTTGGAAGGTTTTGGACCTCAAGCCGGGAGCATCGAGGGCCCGTTTGATGCTTAAGGTTTCAAGTTTTAAGATTCGCCAGCTATGAGCCGGGCTCAGAACAATTTCCGGCGGTCAAAAAGTTCAACTCATGGCAGACTCTGGGTATTTTCCTGGAGCCTCACAGAGTAAAGCCATGTTTGGTTGGGGGAAAAAATGGTGGAAGCATATGGTTGTTCCGAGGCAACTTCCCAAAGGACAAGTGGGATGAAGCCGGTTATGCGACGCTGCCGCCGTGCCTCTGGAGCGATGAAGACCCCAGCTTGGACAACAGCGTGTGGCTACCGGCCAACACACCGATGATTTCTGTCAAGAAGAACAGAAACACCTTCTTGGGTCACTACGGCACCTGACCTGCAAGCCAAATGCTGATTTGTTGAAGTGGAATGGAGGGGGTGAACTTTGGGAGTTCATTTAGTCCATGTTCCTGTGACATCTGGAACAGTGGAATTGGCATCCCCGGCCCTCTTTCCCATTGAGGTCGAGTGTCCGCGGCAAGAACAGCTGAGGCACGCAATTTGGACCCTTATCTGTTGGTCGGAACTTTTTCATATACATTTATGTATATAATATATACATGTCAAACAAAAGTACCACAATTGCAGATTCCATCTTGAACCTTGAGAAGAGTGACTTTACAGCCACTTTGAGGTAAATGAGATTCAATATTATCCAGGCATCTTTTGCCATCTTGAATCTTATCCGCTTGTAGAAAGCGATTGGTGGGTCCAGCTCAAAAACAACAACTGTTCAAGCAGGGTAGCACAGTGCACGCAATGTACACTTTGGCAGCTTCAACGTGCCTGTAGCAGCTCTGTCATCGTTTGAATACTCTTAGCATGTCACAGAGATAAGCATCAAATCTTCATTTTATTCCTGATTATTCCCCTATCTATATCGCTAATTGAAATTGAATTCCAAATTATATTTACAGATCCTCCATGTCCTTGCGCAGTTCCATTTGCATTCAGTAAGAATATCATTTGCAAAGCAATTCCTATTCAATTTGTGTGTTTTTTGTTTCCATTAAAAGCATGATTTTCTAGAATGCACCTAGTGCCATGCATTGAACATCCATTTTGATAAGAATACCCAATTCAAGTTATGTTGCATGTTCATCCCAAGTCAGCTTTAAAGCAATTGCATTTCCTTGTGCGTTCAAAGAACAACTATTGAAATTGGAAGTGGAAACTAGGATCAACTTCAATTTCAGAAGGTGAGTTGCCCTTATCTAAGTCCATGTAGTTTTATCTAAGCGCGAACTAGGCCAAGCCAATCACAGGAAAGTGTTTTAACCATCATGGATCTGCTGCTTGGCACACATGCAGTAACATGCGGTATTTTCAGTATGCGTCAGATCATCGTTCCTCCCCGCAAAAGAAAGGTCAAGCTGCACAGCGCATGTCATGTTTCCCCTCGCAATTGAGTGTCAAGCTAGGCACCTAGATCGAACATGAGGAGCCTGCGAAGCAAGCAGTTCCTGGAAACACTTCAGAGTTTTTGCTTTGGGCTGGACCCAAGATCCCACACAGAAACAAATATGGGAGTCTTGCTTTCAAGCTACCACACAAAAATAATCGAAAGTGTTCGGAAACAGTCGCGCATGGTGCGTTTCCACTGGACCAAAAAGCAATCAAACCAAAACCAATCCTCCCCCTACCACTGGCTGGCAATGTGGCGAATGTTGGGCAACATTCCCCAAGAACTGAAACTGCAGCCAGGAAATGCTACTTCTTGATTGCTTGTAGTGCGAAGCAGGTCCAAATGCCAGACAACCCCTCATTTTGTTTTAAGAGCTAAAACCTGAAAAATGTAGGTGTTCGGGGGGGAGGGATAACATATATATATATATATATGGCATATATGTATATACACCATATGCACACTACTCCAAATAAGCGCATGTTTAGCGTATCATGTCACCTTTTACTAAAAAACAAGGTGTTCACCATGCAAAACAATCTTTTTGCAAAACACAAACATTCTCAAGAGGGCATTTCGAGTAAGGGGTGACATTCCCGTTGACTGTTTGGGGACTCTCGTGAATGAGGATGTCAAACTTGTTGGGTAGCAAACAGCAACCGCCCTGGGCTGGAATCTCAAGCCACCGCCATAGATGGATGTCCTTTTTGGTCTTAGAAACTAGATGGCGATTCCTGGTTTCATGGGGGCAGGGGGGGAGGAAAAGGAGAGGGAGGGAACCCCTAGCGAGTCCTAGATGGCGATTCCTGGTTGACCTGGTTGGTTATCTACCACCGCCCATGGTCTCAAAAACCGGCTTCCAATCGTCACAGCCTATCGTCAGCCGAGGCGAGATGGCCTCGTGGCAGATGCGTGGGGTCAACTTCCCAGCCAAGCCGCCAACTTTTGTCTGAGGCCGTCAAAAAGCCAGCGAAACCGGAAATTCTACAGGAACTGGATCGATCCCCCAGCGATCGGCGCCCTTTCACACTCCTTTTTTGGTTGGGAGGGGTCCCCTAGTAAAATAGACTAGAGGAAAAGGGCACACTTATTGTAACCTCTCTACTGCAGGACCTAGGGAAAGCTTGCAGCAAGTACGTTCTTTTTCCTACAAAGGCTATAAGTACCTACACCTGAATCTCCACTGGCTCACTGAACCCCAAAAAAGATGGGTGTTGTTTGATGTCCAGTAGAATTTCCGGTATAGCTGGTTTCCATGAATACACTTCCATTATGGTCAGGGATACCACAAACCACCCCCAACCATTCTAGCCTTTGGTGGTTGTTCGGGGTTCTTTGGGGGTGGTAGGGTTCCCAAAGTAGGTCGCTAGGACTGCAAGAGGAAATTGGTGGGTTCCATTTGAAGGTGAGAGGACAGCGTCGCACACCCTCTCATTTTGAAGACGAATGGAGTTGCGCTGTCCTGGAAAAAGGTGCGAGCAGAAAAGTTGGGAAGTTATACTGCAGTCTCTTGAAGCTTCCATGTTTTGGTTGGTTCCCTTTTGTTTTCCACTAACCATATGGCTGTGGTTGTCAAAACCGTTTTTGTATCCCATTTTGGTTTGTGGGTGCACCACTCATTTTAGACCCTATTTTAGTGGGATTGGGATGTTCACTGGGGGTACGAGATTTTGACCCATGGCCATATCAGGTAATCCCCAGTTGGTTTGGAGTGGCAACTGGGGATTGGAACCCTGCACAGCCATCTTACCCGAGGAGCCCAAGACCCTAAATATGAGGACAACCGTTACGCCTTTTTGGGGCTCACTTGAAAGCCGACCTTTTGACGCCTTTAAACCATTTGGTTTCCCATTCTTGGTTCATTTCTGGTGTGGGTGCCCAAAGGTGAAACCTTCTCCTTCCAGGTCCTTTGGGCAACTGAGGTAGGCTCACGGGACCCACCGGTAAGCTCCAGAAACAGGCAAAATACTGACACCAGCAATTCAGTTGACCTTGACACCCTAGAAAAGCAAACCCACTTTCCAGCAAAGAATGCTGCTGGACCACCTGGCAGAAGGACCTCCCCACGCTCCGAAGCTACGCTTGCCCGGAGTGAGGCTCACGAGCAACTGCTGGAGGCGCAGAAATTGGCCCCGGACGACAAGCGCGCCGGGAGCCCCACTGCTGGCGGCAAAACGAGACCTGCGGTTTAAAAGGCACCCGTCTTGATTTAGTCTTTATGACTATGTGGCAACGGATCTTTGGACTTAGCCTTCTGGTTGAAACAGGTTTGCCTTTTCGGACCTTCAGAAAGTTAAGCGTTTGCAGGGGGGTCAACAGCAACCAAGTAGCGGTAACTTCCATCCCTTCGTTCCAGGCATCCTTCTGTCTGGAAAGTCTCTGGAAAATTAGGGGAGAACGGGGAGCATTTTTTGAAAACGCCAGTGGGGAAAGAAAGGGGAATCTTGTAGTTGACTTTGGTGGCAACCTGGAAACCATTCCGTAACCCCGCAAGCTCCAAAATGCCATTGGTGTTCTTGTTCTCTACTGGATACATTTGTGAACCCCGTGCCTTTTTACATGGCAATTGCGTGCCTTCTTGGGTCAGGGAGTGGCATCGTACCCAGAGAGTCGCGAGGATGTTTGGAGTGAAGTGAAGAGTCCTCAACCACGTGCCTCAACCGGATGAGGTCCGATCCAGAATTCCAGTCTTGAGGATACCCTTCTGAAGCCGCCTTTCAAGGTCCCCAAAACACATACCCAGGCAACCTCCTTTGGTGTGTGTGGGGGCATTGGGCTGATCTCTTGTATCATGTTTAGTCCGACCTCTTTTTTAAGGGCTCTACTTGTACATGCGGGTGTGGCTCAAAATAAACCAGGAGGGGTTACGCAGGTTTTGGTCCATGATTCCACTTGCCAGTGCAACCCATTTTGGTACCGGTTTTTTGAGCCACAGCCATGTCTCAAAGGAAAAACCACTTCTTCTTCTTCTTTTCTGTCGTGTTCCTTTGGTTTGGGTAAAAGGCCCGACATGGTCCCGCTAAGATGATTCCTGAATCCGGGGGTACCCTCGAACAAGACACATCCGTACATATCCTTTTAACTTATTCTCCCTTTTTGGCTGTAAAAGGAATCTATCACTACTGGACTTCTTTCTTTTCCAGGGGGCGAAAAAGCAAATGGAAGGAACTGCAGCTCCAGCCCCGACGAAGGCGCCGCTGTGCTCAGCCTCAGGTCCAAGAGGAGCTGCGGAAGGTGAAGATCGAGCTGCGCCCGGGGCACCGAAACGAGTCGTTCGAAGCTCTCGCCATGTGGGACGGGACGTGGTGGCCCCTGTTAATCCAGTGAAATCTGTGTTTGCATTGGAAAACTGTATTGTTCCTTTGTGTTTCCAGTGAATTCTGTGTGTTTTTCTCCTTTCTAAAAAAACTGGGCTCTCCTTCAAAACGATGTTATACTTTTGGGTGGACTTGCCGAAATATGAGCTTGGCGCACTAGTTCACCATATATGAAACGGACTTAAGAAAGGGTACCGGCCAAGATAAGGGCCCAGCTCCTTACTAGTAGTTGACCTTCTACCATTACACTCATCACTACATACGGGTGTGTCTCAAAATTTAAGATCTGGGGGATAGGGTTTTTGGTTTTGGATGTTTTGGTTTTTCTTCCCATCCAAGGGGCCCAAAACTTGGTACCACCTGTTTGAGCCACAGCCACATGGTTTCAAAGTGCTAGCTGTGAATACCCAAAGGAAGCCAGGCTTTGGCAAAGGAAGAGGAAGCGGACCAGTTTTTTTTCATTCTTTGCCTAACCCTAGGAGCCAAGACCCGGAAGAAAAAACAACAAACAAAAAACAGGGCCTTGATTCCCCTTAAAGCCCAAAAACAGTGAATGAGGTCTTGCGCTCCAGCCTAAGCTTTTTTTGCCCCGGGTTTCCCGGCCGTTGCGGTTTCCCTTCGGGCCTCGGTAGAATTGGCCGGCGACGGCGCCTCGAAAGGGCCTTGGACCCTCAAGCTACCCAGAAAAATGGGGAGATCACCCCGTGAATTTTGGGGGTCAGACCCATTTTTAAGTTGGAATTTTGAGGGTTCAGGTTTCTTTTTTTGCAATCGAAGCCTTCAAAGGTTCCAATGGATGCTTATGCAAAGAGATTCCTTTTGACACGACCACTGCTTTGCAGCATTTCTTGTCAACATTTGGGGGCATTGAGCCACGCGCGTCGCATGGTGGGGCATTCGCCTCACGAATTGAGGCAAGGAGGAGGAGCAGCAAAGCAGAGCGAAGGCCATTCTGGGCGTCGGAGAATCTGTGTATTTTCGGGCTAGCCACAGGCTGCTGAAGGCAATAAGGCCATGGGTCAACACCCAAATCGTACCCGCAGTGAACATCCCAATCTCCACTAGGGCCTACCAAATGGCAAGGGTGCCAGGTGTCCTAGAAGATCTTAGAAGTTGGCGCCATTTGCAGAAGCATCCGACATAAAGCTAACCAAACAAGCCCAAGACCCTGCACGTGAGGGGCCTTCGTCCCCGAAAGGCCTCAGCTGGTAAGGGGTAGGGTGTTTTTAGCGCCTGTTTCGGTGTTTCTGTGGACAGGAGTGCTTTTCGGCATGGTTTGGGTGTTTTGGGGGTCTAGCGGGTGTTTTGGGTGTCTGTTTTTATCTTTGCAGCCCCTGGTGAAGTCCAAGGGGTTCCTGGAAAAAGGTTTGCGTTTGCATTTTGCGGGCCAACTTCGCCATTTTTTCCGACACTTGCCAAAAGGACCTTCACACAGCAGGTCTTCGACCTCCTGCCATACCTTTTGGTGGGTCCTGGGAAACCTGTTGGCTGCTCCGGAAAGCTCCACATATCGAACAAAAAACACAACGGTTTTCCGTGATGGTAAATACTTTTTTAAGAGGGTTGCCATGATACAATGATACCCTCAAAAAACTGGTGTTTGGAGCAGGGTGTGGTACTCACCAGGGGTCCGCAAAGGCACTCCGACGCGTGAATCGAAGGCCTTTGGCCTAAGCAAGGTTTTTGCCCACCTTCGGTCCAGTTGTGCCCAGCTGGGGTTAAAACAGCCGCCGTTTTGTGCATGCCCCGTGCTTGGATGTGCACACCTAGGGTCCTAGGGTGGAAGATCACAACAATAAGCACGGCTGACCCATGATGAAGGTGCTTTCCTGGGACGTTGCGCTTTGCAAGGTCTTTTTCAGCCCTCAACATCGCTTTGTAGGACGCGTGATGAGTTCTCTCATGGTCACGTGAAGGGGGAAATATGGGGATCCTTCGCGGATACCAAAGGGTCCTTCTAGAATGCCACTGGTGTGGTCAAGTGCCCCCAACCTTCCGTGGGGAATGACCCATGACTCAGATCTGTGGGTTGAATTTGCCCAGCTTGCCGATAGGTGGCTGAACTGCGGGATGGCCTCAAGAGGCGGGGATCGGATATATCCGGATTCGGATTCCAGCTATATGGCGGTTCCCAGCGAACCGTCCGGTTTTGTTTCGGGTTTGAGCCGTGTAGGGTTTTGTAGGGGGTTCCCATTTAACCCACTGAAAGCTGAAATTTATACTTTCAGGGAATCTGATGACAGCCCAGATATGAGTGACCGTCAGGGTTTTTGATGAAATATACCCCGCAGGCGTTGTGAGTCCTATGTTGGTTTTCCTGTGGGCAACACGCAGAGCTTTCAGGGATCACAGTGCTCGGCTGTTCGATTCGCCAAGTTAGTTCTTGGTTTGGCGTATAGCCCACTCAGACTCGTCCCCAGTGGACAGGCCCCAATGGATACCAGACAAACCACGACAGAAAGGTGGCCCTTCGCCATTGTCCTGTTTGTTCTTTTGGCTACCATACCATTCCATTCCTGATGTGAGCAAGAACAATTGAAATATTGTAGGCTATACAAGACAAGGAAATTGAACCACTGGGAAAACCTCCATGAAACCATGTTTCCTGTTATGTATGGTCGCTGGATGATGTTCAG